ACAAGAAACAAATAGACAAGAAAGATCGGCAACGGCAAGGGTCGCATAAAAAAATATATATAAAATTTAAATATGAAAAAAATATGATGGTTCTGGTGCGTGTAAATGGTATAGGGAAACGAAATTTTCTAGTAATATTTAAAAATCTTCACTCTATTTATTTTCTTTACCATACACGGAAAGAAAGTTTGTAGCAATATTTGATATTATGGTGTTACTTTTTAGTATATTTGGTTACAATTGCGGAACATTTTGGCATGATAACGATTTTCGATACTATTTATATTATTTATTGAAACACAAAAATGTCAAATTTTAATAAGCTCTTTATCAATTTTTCTAACCAAATATTTCAAATTTCGTAATTAGAATTGTATAAAATGATATAATTATTTTAGATTTTGATATATTTGATATGAAAATTGAAAAAGAAATATCAAAGTTAACGAGATTCGACGAAATTTGCCGAAGTTGAACGTTCGGAATTGCCCGATCCTCACCGAGTGGTAACGAAGACTGACGAAGCTCTTTAGACAAGCCCCTTTTTACTATTATCTTGATACAGGACCTGAATTTCTTTTATATAATTAATTTCGAAGATTTTACAATAAATCAGTAAAAAAAATTGTTCTTCAAAAAATAATAAAATATTTAATTATTTCCCAATAAATAATGATTTTTATTTATATTTTTAAACATATTTTAATATAATTTCACCTTTCTCATAAGCGGTGAAAAATATGTCTGGTTAGTATACCTATAAGAATGGTCACATCAGTTTTTCACATGAGCGTAAATTTGTATATGAAGCGTTATTCTGCGAATGTTATACGTATTATCGTTAGTATAGGTTAGGAATAAAAATAAGCCAATCGATGTAAAACAATGCGGTGTATGTGTGTGTGTGTGTGCATTTAAAAGTTCATATCCTCGTCTATCCTCGAGATGAGAAAGAGATAAAACTTTGGCGTAGAATCTGTTGGTGTTTCTGTCGTCATCTGTCACGACTGAACCACTTCGAATTTTTAGTATAGTTTTAACAAATTTCGAAATAATCTTTCCAAATTTTCATATAAATTTAGTAAATAACGAAGTGCGCGTCGATTTAACTTACTTCTGTTTTTTCGTATAAATTTATCAATTTACGAAATAATAATTTCAATTTCTGGAATATATTTACTAAAAAGACTATTGGTAAAAATATACCGATTTTCGTTATCAAACCCAAATGTTCCGCGTTTGAAAAAGAGAATACTAAAATTTCCTATCAGATTTATCAAATATTGCTACTAAATTTCTTTCCGTGTATATTCAAATAAGAGAGTCCCCTAACTATAATTTTATTTTAGAATTATATTCAATAATTCCAAACGAAATCTCGAAAATTCACTAGGTTTTATATAAAAATTTCTTTATCTAGAAATACTCTAATTCTATAGAATACTTACGTGCACTACAAAAAATTATAAGCATCGCATTTACTACTTTTTATGGATTTTCCCGCATTTCATCACATATAGAGTTATAGATTTTTTTTCAATTAATTCTGTTTCTTTCATCCAAAAACATATATCAGCAAATCAATGATAAGTAATGGGTCATTTACTATGGTACATATACCTATATTTTTAAGTTTAATATAGCGCTATATGCAATTCGTTTTGCAGACATTGAAATTTATAAAACATTTCTTTTTTATATTTATCCCACTTTTAATTGCATCGTACCGTATTGAAAGTTATAAAAAAAATTCAACAGTCAAAAATATTGATGAAAAAACATTTACATTTCAATAAAAGACATAATTAATATATATTAATGATAAATTGATCCTCAATATACAGTTCATATATCTAAACAGAAATCAATACTATATATCAAATTAAATTAAACTGAAATCTTATATAATCTCTCAGGTTTATAATTTTACTTCCATTATTTGGATCTAACAACTAGAAATTAATCAGACAGCAAATAATTTTGAATGAATGTCATATAATTATGCTTAAATTATTAGAACAATAACTGATGAAAGTAAAGATTTTCCATAATATGTTAATTAACAAACATATTCATAAAACGTGCAATTGTTGCTTAAATTTTTAACAAAATAGTTGTTTTTATAATTTTTCATAATTAAAAATTGCTATTAGAGAAATCTAAATATTTGTAATTCTAATATAAATAATAATTCACTTTATTTTTAATTTAACACAGTAAGCACACTTTTAGTGAAAATTAAATATTTACAATTCTTTTTATTTATTTAAAAACATTCAACAGGATATGTAGACAAATATAAAAAAAAGTTGGTTTATATTTGCCAAACAGAGCATGAAGGCATTTATAGATATTATCAACATTATTTTCATAACAAAGAAAAGCTTGATGGAAAATAACAATAATGTGACTGCAGTTCTGCAGATCGATAAAATATTAAATTTACCCTTTTTGACATTTTCACAAGTTTCATTATTTTATATAAAAGAAAATTACCATTCATTGATAATTTCTATTATTTGTTAACAATCAATATAACTTCATTTTATTTATTAAAAGAAAAATTAAAATATTGCGTTTTTTTAATATAATTGTTCAAAACTATTGAGAATTAACATCTCTGGGTAATTACTATTTATTAAAACCGTCATTTTTAAAAATTTCAATTAATTCTATTGTTTGAAATTATTATTAATAAAACAACTTTTTGGAAACATCTTAAATATTATTACTCAAATATCTCTTATAACAAGTTGGCTTTTTTAAAAAGCTTTTAACGTCCCGGCTGAAAGAACTTGTACAAGAAAATGTACAAGTTCTTGTACATGTTCATTAATAAACTTGTACATTTTCTTGTACATGTTCAAGTAATGTTCTTAAACAAGTTCAGCATACGGAATTGAGACATGTTCCTGTACCAGAACTTGTACAAGATCCTGGACAAGAAAATGTACATGTTCTTGTACTTGTTCTTGTACCAAATGTGGAACATGTTCTTGTACATGTTTATATGTTTTTTAAATTAAAAATTAAAAACTTTAAAGGCTGCGCAATAGTTTTCTTAAGCCTTTACAGATGCGCAATAATTTTTAGCATGCATAAGTGAAGAGTCTTAATAATTATAACTTATTAAAATTTCAAATTTTTTTTAAAAATATTTTTAAACAAATGTTCTTGTACAAGAACACAAACGTGTTCATGTAAAAGTACTTGTACATGAAACCTGCACAAAAAATATGTTCAAGAACATGTACATTTTCTTGTACAAGTATATTTTCTTGTCCAGGATCTTGTACAAGTTCTGGTACAAGAACATGTCTCAATTCTGGATGCTGAACTTGTTCAAGAATATTACTTGAACATGTACAAGAAAATGTACAAGTTCATTGATGAATATGTACAAGAACTTTTTTCAACCGGGGTGTACATAAGAATTTTTTTAACATTAATTTTAAGATAATCATCATAATAAAAACCTTAATCATTTTTTTAAAAAAATCTATATATTTGAAATTATTTACATTTTTATGTATTTTTTTAGATGTAGATTTTTATCTTAAAGTGCTATCGTTTTAATAGAAATTTTAACCTTTGACATGTATATAGTTTAATCTACACTTGTTGATCTCCCTACAGGATATCCCTAGTTCGTGCAATTATACGTGCAAGAGTTTTTCTTATATATATGAAATAAGCTTTCATTCAGAGATTTACATTTTAGATAAACTGATTAAATTTAAGATAACTTTTAAAGCTAACCATAGTACTCCATTTTAGAAGTTTAATGTACCTTTTCTTTCTTACTAAAAACTGTTGAAAAAGTCACTGGCCTATGTATTTAATAAGCAATTACCACATAATGGAATATCCTTTAATTATACAACTTGCAAGTACTGAAAATGCGAAAATAATTAGAATGACGAGATAACTTGAAATATGAATAATACCTTATATTTACCAGTATGAAATTGTATATCAATAGTCAAAAATTTTAATAATAAAATTATTATAAATTATTTGAAAATTATAAATTCATGAATATTAAAAATAAATTAATATTAAGAAATGAATTTAAATTTAGAGAAATATAATTTCTAAAATAATAGAAAGAGAATAGGAAGATACAAATTCAAATAAGAAGAATTATTAATTAAAAATAAATTTAAAGATTTTATTATAGAATAAAGAATTTATATAAATTATTATTAAATTAATAAATTATAATTTTTAAAATATTTACAAAATCAAATAATGAAAATTATTTTATTTAATTGCTAAAATTAATAACAATATAATGAAATTGTATTTTATATTAAAGTAAAAATTATTTATAAAATTAATGGTAAAAGTTAAATAATCCTAAAATTATTATTTTTTGAGAAATTAAAGATTTTTAGAAATGAAACTCAGTTAACATTAGAACTACCGAAGATCCTGCATATCTAGAACTACCCCGGTACAGTTTGTCCCATTATTCATTTATGTTTTTTTTATTAACATTTACAAGTTAGAAAAATAAAATGATACATGATTTTCATAGGTTTTTTCACGTAGATGACGAATCCGAAGTCGGAAATACTCCAGCATTTTAATTTCTCACTAAAAAATAGGTTTGAGTGATAAAAAAGCGTTTTTTATGTTAACTTTAAAGCAATATAAAAAATTATCCCGAAAAGTTTCAAACTTCCGGTAGGTCTTAAAATAATAAATAAACCTTCAACAATAAATTATGTATATGGAAAACCCAAAACTTTAACTAAGATTTTGCCAAGAACGATTTTTTTGATAAGCGCGTTTCACCAGCAGTTTCGTACACTAACCGTCCGCTGCGATGCTTCCCATGTAGATTTGTATCAAAAACGCTTGTCTTGTAAATATTAATATAGGCAATACATAAAAAGTATAATTCAACATATATTATCATTGTTTATACTTTCTATTAACTGTACAAAATGATTATTTTTCAATTTTGCAATAATAATTGTTTTTTTTTGCGCAAGGACAAGCGTGGAAATCTGCTACACCAAGGAGGGAATTACAACTCCAAGGATCAGACCGCCTCAAGGAGGCGCAAAAATTTCTCCGAGGTGTGCGGAGTTGGCTTTCTACTCCTGTATAGGCCGACCCGCTAAAACCACACCCTTTTCTCGGAACCGTTTACTCTTACTTGCGGAACTGTCGTCCGGTTCCGGAACTTCGTAGCCTACTCTTCCTCCAATTGCTCAAGGCTGGACAGAAGGGAGAGGGGATCTAAATTCTCCTCCTGCCCCTTCTACTTGATCCCTGCCGAGCACTTAGGCATCTCCCGGTCAACCCAGGTCTTCCGTCTTTAACTTTTGTCAACATAACATTTATGACAAAGGTTTCGATATGTCTCCAGGATTCCACACTTTGGAGCATGATAGAGACCATGGTATCAGGGTTGAATCGAGTCTCAACCGCCGTAAACACGGCTTCTCTATTCTCGCTCCAGTGCTCATAGGAAAATAGCGTGTGTTCTGCGTCATCGATTTGAGCATCGCAGTACACGCATTTCGAAGCTTTTCTTATTTTAAATCTATGGAGGTAATGGCCGAAACAACCATGACCTGACAACGCTTGTGTCAGGTAATACCCAACTTCGCCGTGCTCTCTATCAAGCCAGGTGGCGAGGTGAGGAATCAGGCGGTGTGTGTGTCCACCTTCCTTTTGAATCCCCATCCCATCTCTCTTGCCATCTTTCAACGAGACGTTTCCTCGCTTCATTGCGAATAGCCGCCTTTAGACTATTACAGTTCTCTTGTTCCAGCGAGCCCGCTAGGTCCTTCCATAGCCTAAAGACCTCCTGTCTTTCTCTCGCCAATAAATCTACTGGCGGAGTGCTTGACAGAACTAGGACTGCACTCGTTGAAACCGTTCTGTAGGCTGAAACCACTCTCCGTGCACAGCTTCCGTGTATGGAGAGCAGTTTATCAGAGATGCCGCGATTCTTTAGGGCTTTATTAGCCCATGCAGGGGCAGCATAGAGCTGCTTTGCTAGACCCGCGGTAGCCACCAATCGCCTTTTTTTCCCTGGGGCCGCCGACATTGGGCATCATCCTCGAAAGGTTTCCAACGCACTCAGCGGCCTCGAGTGACTTAATGTTACAATGTTGGGAAAAGTTTAACCTTCTATTCAACGTCACTCTCAGGTACTTAAGATTATTGCCCCAGGAGACTTCGGTCTTCCCGATTTGAATCGGAGGGGATGTATAAGGTCTCCGGTCTGTGACGAGCAAGGCTTCAGTCTTCTCTATGGCCATTTGAAGGTCATTGAGGTCTAACCAGCGTTTTACTCGTCTCAGACTTTCATTTATCCTTATTTCAAGGATTTCTAAGCTCTGCGCGCAACATACTATAATGACATCGTCTGCAAAGCCGGCTAAAAACGTGTCTTCAGGTAGGTCGATTTGCAGGAGTTCGTCATACATGACGTTCCATACAAATGGACCCACCTTAGAACCTTGGGGAGCTCCACATGTCATATCGTATTTGATATGACACGTGTCACTCCTGTACACAACCCATCTGTTGCTAAGATAGTTGTCTATCATCCGCAACAGATAAGTCGGTACCTTTTTTCGTTTCATTGCTTCAATACAATGGTCCCACCTTGCAGAATTAAACGCATTACGTATGTCGATAGAAACGAGCGCGCAGAATCCTTTCTTTTTCCCCTTTTTGGCATTCTGCGTCTTATTGACAACAGAGAGTATTGCATCAACTGTTGACCCGCCTTTTCGAAAGCCAAATTGATTCTCCGATAGGCTGTTTTCGCCTATTAGGATTTCCTGAAGTCTCTGCAAAACCATACCCTCTAGAAACTTACCCATCGTATCCAATAAACATATCGCTCTGTACGATATCTAGAGGTTTGTCTCCTTTCCTAAGAAGGACCAACTTCTGTATCTTCTAGTCATTGAAGAATTCTCCAGCTTTCAAACACGCATTAAAGACGTTGAGAACAAGCTCTGGGTAGACAGCGGTCACCTCTTTTAGGATTTCGCTAGCTATTCCATCATTGCCTGGCGCTTTGCCATTTTTCAACGTCTTCGCCACCTTTTTTAGTTCTTCAAGCGTGAAGAGCTCCTCCCTCTGTACTACACAGTGAGTATAGTCCTCCCTGGGGATCGGTTCTACATGGGGGAATAATGCACTCATTATTTTCCGGACCCAAATCGGATCATCTAGACCAAGGGTTTTTTGTCTAGCCACCAATTTCTTGGTAACAATTTTGAACGCCAAACCCCATGGGTCATTTTCGGATTCACCGATTAGGTCCTTCCAGCAACGGCGTTGGCTATTTCGAACCGCTTGCTTAAAGGTAAGCCTGGCTTTACGCCATTTTTCTCGGAGCTCGAAGTTTCCCCTAATAATTGTTTTTAACAATATTAATAACCATGGTAGAAAATGTCCCGTCGGTAGTTCTAGGTATGCCGGTTCAGATCTCAGGTTCTAATAATGATAAAAATCTGAAATTTGGTATATACTGATTAAACTCAACAAAAAAATAAAAGTCAGAAAATTTCAGCCCTCTAGCTAGTCATTAACGTAAGATACACAAGATAAACTGTACGCCGCGGGACAAAATGTACCGTCGGTAGTTCTAGTGTTAAAGGAAAATGATTGATAGCTAGACAATGGCATTGTTCTTGGCGAGCGTTAGAAACGGAATTAGAAAAAAAATGAATCGCTCTGTCGTTAGTAATATAATTTGAATGTAATTAGCCACCGAAAATAAGACGCCGTGAAAAGTCTAATTAGAAGGAGAAATTGGCGGTATGAGATACATGGGAGAAGCGCCTCGCGAAATGTAGTGAGGGAAAATAGCGGATCCTCGCTCAATCAATTCATAGTTTCTTACTCACACACCCGAACATGTTGAATTTTACTAGCCCCGAGAAAATAAGGGTAGGGTCGAGCCTTTATAAACCGAGAAAATGTACACTTCTGTCTCTTTATTCTGAACAGTTTTATACAGGTAAGAGCTTTTTTTATATTTTAAATGTAAGGAAATTTTTCAGAAATATAAAATCTCCAAACTCAAGTCGTTTGAACTTGGGATTCTGATTGTCAAGAGATTTCTGAAGATTTCTACCAACACTGTTAATTTTCCAAGAGTGGTGACAAAGACTAAATCGTAATTCTTTTTTAATATTCTTATATGCCATGTGCATTGCAATAGGTTATCCACATGACAATTCAAAAGATTGATCAAGAGTTGATACTAATAAACCTGAAAATTAGTTAATTTGGGATAAAATTTAATTATTTAATTTAATTATTTAGCAGGGGTTTTCAGAGATAAATCCATTAAAGTTTAATAAAAAGATTCATAATTTAATAATAAATTATTAAATTATGATAAATCATTGAAGTTTAATTTTTTTTATAAGAAAAGAAAAGTTAAAAATAGAATTAGAAGAAACTAACCCGTAAATTTTGGTTAGATAAAAATAAAAATTTTGGAATATTTATTACAAATAATTTTATTTTAATTATTTTAGATTCAACTCGAATTTAAATTCTCCAAACGATTAAAAGTTTTGCAAGTGTGTAAATACCACAGAAGGTAGGAGTAAATTTCATTCTATTCGGATTTAAACAAAAGAGTCCACAATTGTTATTAAATAATAAAGGCTGTATCGTCAGATTAATTGTTTACTTTAAAATACAAAAAAATATAATTCTTTTATTTATTATTATTTTCCTTTAGCGTCAAATTCTTCGAAACGATAAACAATCAATTGTTTAAACAAGTAGAAGAATTTTGAAAACCCTGGCGGATTGTGAAAACCGAGTTGTAACCGAATTGGGTTACGATTCGGTTACGTTTCGGTTCATTGTGAAATATTATCGTTAATCGACGAAATATGTAGTAAATAACTATTAGGAATGGTTAATGGGTCATTCTCACAAAAAGGACAAATGACACGTTCATGACATTATTTTTAATAAATAATTATAATAATTGAAAATGTTGCGGGCCTTATTATAGAAGTCAACAGAATTTAATAAGATTTTATAAAAAAAAATTGACAATTTTAAATAATTGAATATAATCATGTTTATATAGTGTAAAAACTCCCCTCCGTTACCGTTCGCGAAGTAAGTTTTATTTAAAGAAGAATTATTGCATTCATACTGCAATAGGAAAACATCTTTTGTCTAGTGACATCTACTAATTACATTATTTATAATTGATTTATAAAGTGTAAAACAGAATATTTGTAAAATATTTTTTCCTAGAATTAAATAAGTTTTGTTCGCAAAGTAAACTCCCCTCCGTGACCAATTACAAATATAATGAGTAAATGAAAAAAAAATGATAATTGAGAAATGAAGAATTCAAAAGTGTTTACAGTGACGATGTTGTTTTGGTCAGTACACAACATCATGAAAGAAATGAAAACAATAAGTGTCAGAAAGATTTTCAGTTTCGCAATGTTCGTCGACACAAAAAAACTCCCCTCCGTGACCACTTTAAATTTAGTTTTTTGATAAATATATAATAAATATTATTAATAATTTTTAGAATATTCTTTTAAATATCGCGAATACTATTATTACTTTTTTTATAAAATTTATTATTTTTATATTAGAATCAATAAATTTTGGCTACGCCTAAAGGAAGAAAACTCCCCTCCGTGATCGCTAGTCACATCCATCGATTATAAAGCCTCATGCAAAAAAATGCACCTTTTTCGTACCTCGAATTTTGAAACTTTCTTTATGCCAAATGGTAACATATGATGACCCAATAATCCCTGAAAAATTTCAAGATGAGCATATGCCCCCTTTCGGAATTACAGGGGGTCAAAGGGGGCCATGTCAAAAAAAAAGAACATGTAATATTATCGAATAATAATGTTAAAAAAATCAAACGAAATCGTTCCTTCAAGATTTTCGTCTGCTGATTACGAATTTGAAGTCCGTTTTCAAAAATTCAAAATGGCGGAACCTATATGGTGGACAACAATTTAAAAAATCGATCCGATTGACCTGAAAATGGTTACTCGGAGGTTTTTGGGGTCGCTGATTACGAATCTGAGGTCCGTTTTTCAAAATTCAAAATGGCGGACTACAATTTCAAAAATCAATCCAATTTACTTGAAAATGGTTACTTGGGTTACCTTCAGATTTGTGTTCACCGTTATTGAAACCCCCTAATTAACGATATTAAAGCCAATTAAATAGATTTAAAAGATAATTGTCCGACATTTTGAATTTTTTAAAACTGATTCCAGATTCGTAATCAGCGACCCCAAAAACCCCTGAGTAACTATTTTCAAGTAAATTGGATGGATGTTTAAATCTGTCGTCCGCCATTTTGAATTTTTAAAAACGGACCTTAAATTCGTAATCAGCGACCCCGAAAACCCCCGAATAACCATTTTCAAGTAAATTGGACTGATTTTTGAAATTGTCGTCCGCCATATTGGATCTGTCATTTTGAATTTTGAAAAACTAACACCGGATTCGTGTTTAGCGACCCCAAAAACCCTCGAGTAACAAGATTTAAACGGATTCGATCATTGTATCGGTGACAAAATATTAAACAATTATTTTATATTAAACAATTATTTTTTAAACAATAATGTTCATAAAGATCGTAACAACGTATTTTAGAGACTTATTTAGGTCCTTCTCTTCACATAGCAATAGTCATAACAGTGGTTTTGAACTTTTTTTTTTTTTTTTTCTTAATTCAGCATTTGTCCTTTTCGAGAGATTCACCCTAATATACATTTAGAGAGCTTATTTATGCAATAATAATAATAAATTAAGATATAATTAATTAATAATAAGTGTTTTAAGTGTACAGTGCATACATTTGTTGAATTACTATTAACGGCAGCTGTGATACGCGCGTTAAACCCTAGATGGCGTTAAGGATCACTTTTTCGAATGAATTTCTAAAATTAAGCCCTTGAGTGTCAAATGTGTAAGTGAATATATAAGTTTTAAAAAAATAGATCAATTTATTAAAACAACTTTTTTGATTTGTACAAATATAAAAAATAAATTTTTATAACGAACAAAAATTTTTTTAATGAGAAAAAGTTTTTTTCAAAATTAATCTTTTTTATTTTATTGATGAAAAAAAAATTTTATTAAGAAAAAAATGTTTATTTTTGTTATTTATTTAATTATTATTATTATTATTGTAATTATTATTTAAAATTATTTTTGTTATTTGTTTAATTATTATTATTTTTATTTTCATCAATAAAATGAGAAAGATTAATTTTGAAAAAAACTTTTTTCCAAAAAAATTTTTTATTCTTAAAATAATTTTTTTCCTCAATGAAATGAGAAACATTAATTTTTACATAAAAAAAACTTTTTTTCCCTAAAAAAATTTTTTTTCTGAATAACAAAATTTTTTTTCTCAATAAAATGAGAAAGATTAATTTTGACACAAAAAAAACTTTTTCTTATTAAAAAAATTTTTGTTCGTTATAATAATTTATTTTTTATATTTGTACAAATCAAAAAAGTTGCTATAATAAATTGATCTATTTTTTTAAAACTTATATATTCACTTACACATTTGACACTCAAGGGCTTAATTTTAGAAATTCATTCGAAAAAGTGATCCTTAACGCCATCTAGGGTTTAACGCGCGTATCACAGCTGCCGTTAATGGTAATATACATATATATGGTAATTCAACAAATGTATGCACTATACACTTAAAACACTTATTATTAATTAATTATATCTTAATTTATTATTATTATTGCATAAATAAGCTCTCTAAATGTATATTAACCATTCCTAATATTTATTTACTACATATTTCGTCGATTAACGATAATATTTCACAATGAACCGAAACGTAACCGAATCGTAACCGAATCGTAACCCAATTCGGTTACAACTCGGTTTTCACAATCCGCCAGGGAAGTTAATAACAAAAGCTTAAAAACTAAATAATTATTTTAAAGATTCCTCTAATTTAGTTTGAAAAGCGACAAATAATTTAAAAATGAAAGATAAAAAATACTAGACGTATTGAATAAGAAATAAGAAAAACAAATCAATATGAATCTTATTTCATTCATAAATTTCTACTATATTTTGACAATCTTATCTGATGATATCGTTTTCACACTTTTCATTATATTGAATAATTAAAATTAAGAATTGATATTTAGACAATAGCCATTATTCTTTTTGTTGGGAATTAGCCCCGGACTGAGAGCATATGAATGCTTCAAGTACATAAACATCAAAAAAGTTATGTCATTGTTAATAAACTGCTATATAGAGTTATTTTTGTAGTTTGTTTGTTATTATATTTTCAAAAAAATTATTCAACTAACTTTTTAAATTATCAATATGCAAGAAGATATTTCAGTGCAGAATATAAAAATTAAAAAGTATTATTAAAATCAAATTCTATATTGTAAAATGAAATTTGTTTATTTTGCTAATATCTTATTATATACGTCAAGTAAATTTTTGCCGAGAAAAATATATTTTTTCGCGAAAGCTCTGTGAAACTTGAAAAAAAGGTTTACCATTTCAATACACACCATTATCCACTTGTTCGATGGGAAAAGAAACGGTCCATTAGAAAGAAATGGCCACTTCGATTCGGTAAATTCTTTTATCGAACAAAAGCAATTTTATGTTAAGGCGTGAAACCATACCTACAATTTAAAAAGTTTTCTTTAAATTCGATTTGAGTCATTTATCTTTAACTTTATTGTTTATTTAATATTTTCTAAAAAATGTTCTTAAATATTTACATATACTACACTTCAGTTTTGAAAATTAAGTAAATACCAATACCTTATTTTTTAAAAAAAAGTCAAGAATTAATTTTAAATGCTACATAAAATAAAAGTGATTCCTTGCTTCGTGCAAATTTCATTCTACATTCCATGTCGAGTAAAGTAACGTTCTAAAAGTTTTATTAAATTGAAATATTGATTCAAAAAATAAATAAAATGATAAAAAGAAAAAAAGTTTTGATTGATTAAAACTAACTTTGACTACTAAAGAAAGCAAAACTGAAATGCAAATAAACATAAAGATTATTGTTTTAGAACAATAAATTCAAAAATAATGGAAGAGCTTTATTTGGTAAAAAATTTTAAATCATCGTTTAGTCAATTTTCGAATTAAAAAAAAGGATCAATTTCGTTGTAAAAAGATAAACATTATCATTTTAAATATAAAATGTAAATGGAATTTAGAAACGAAATATTACATTCACATTTATATTATGTGACCTCAGAATCTGACTTATTTTCCATTTGTGCCAACTTTCTTCTTTCACTCTTTTGAATTTTTGCCCGTTGAGAATCAAGGTAGGGATCTATTGAAGATTCAAATACAATGGCATTCAAGGATCTCTTTTTCGACACTGCTTGTTGGTTGTTATTATTATTATTATTCTTTTCAGTATTTTTACATTCCGACTTTTTATACTTTACTTCCGGCAAAACTTTTCCATATGCCTAAAATTTAAACGTATTTAATAAGTTCAAAAAAAATCCTTATAATTTACACTTCTTTTCTCTAAAAGAAATACATAATAAAGCAATATTCAGCTGGTAAGTTATCAGTAATTTTTTATTGTGAAATAATAATTTTTTACCGGCATGGGAAATATTGGTCTACCGTAGTTGTCCTTTTCACGTGGAGGAGATTTATCCACAGGATCTCGTGGATTTATTGGATTTGACATTTCTAAAATTCTAGCACTAGCCGAGGCTGAAAGGGCCGATTTACTTACTTCAAAAGGATTTTCCCAATATGCTTGTGATTTACGAACATTTGCTTTAGAAAGTTCCTTTACGCGCGGAGAAGCTATAAACCGTAAAATCCATTAAAATATTAAAGCAGCTTATAAAATCTGTATGACGTTGAATATTAAAACTATTTTAAATCGTGTCGTTACATATTTTGACTTCATAATTATTTTAATACAATAATTCATTGTAAATATTAAATACTAAATGAAATAATTAATTAATATTATAATTGAGCTGTCGGATCAATGAAGGGCACATAACCCATTTGAATTACATTAGTTATGTGCCCTTCTTTGATCCAGCAGCTCAATTGATTCATTAATATTAACTTTATAGTAAGAAATATTAATAAACATTAAATAATTAAATTAATTTATCATTTTTGTGGTGTCAAATAAGAAACATTGAATAAAAATATTTTTTTCCTTTCTAATTAACCTATTGCCTTTAGAGCAGACTGTTTAACTCCAATTTCTTGAAAAGGACTAGGAGCAAATCTCCAAGCGTCTCTCTCTATTTTTCTTCGTTTAGCTTCTTCGCTTTCATTGTCAGTTTCTCTGGACGATTCTCGTTTTCTTTTCCTTTCTCCCTTTTCCTGAGTTTCTATTTCTTCATCTTTTGCTTCCTCAGGTAAAAGACTTTTTTGATCAATTTCTTCATCCTGAAATTCAAATTCTTCTTCTTTTTTCTTTATCATCTTCTGCTTTTTCCTTAATTTCTCCTCTAAAGCTTTTTTTCCTCTTAACTCGGATTCTTCGATAATTTTCTTTTTCCAAGCCTGAGCATTCTTATCGTTGCGATCCTTTAGATTTCGATAGGAAGGAAGGGACAAAAGTGACATCCATGGTGTAAACTAAACAATATTTATTATACATCATTATTATTTATATTTATTTTATTAATTATTTTTCTTTTTTAATTGAAATTTTTTATCACACATTAATACATCGTTTATAGCTTAAAATTGTTTAAATTCTTTTCCCGGTCTGTTAGACCGCTATTTCTTCTTTATGTTTTTTTTTGTGATTTTTACAATTATGAAACTATATTTCTTTTTACATTGAAAATGTCTATTTTATTATTTTATTTATAAATAATTGAAATATTTGCAGGGTTTATAAAATGTTTGTAAAATGACGAAAACGTCAAGATAATAATTGCAAGTTATGATGACTGACACTACCAAACGATTTCACCCAATAGAGACGGGTTGCCAAGGCATAGGGGCCAGAAATTGAAACTCATACGCACTACCTCTATAAATCAAATCTAATTCAACTTTTAATACAGGAATTTAAAAATAATTTTCCCTATACTTTAAGAATATAAATTCTAAATTTTTTAATTTTCTTGAAATTTATGAAAAAAATTTAATTTTCATCAAATTCCATCATTTTATATACCTAATTCTGAAATAAAAATTAGGTCAAATGTTTCGATCTTGTATAGACTCAACACTAAAAGAAATAATTGATATAGCAAATTATAATATATTATTTAGATTTAATAATTATATATGAAAAAAAAAAATTAATTTTTTTGTTACTTCATAGATCAAAGCACTCTTCATAATTCCAGCTGGTGTCATTAACATTTCTTTTTCCTCATCAGTGAGAAGAAAATGAGGGCATTCAACGGCTTTCTTTGACAGAGCCATCATTCGTTCCCTGTCCGTTGTTTCATGCTTTAATGCTTTCTGTGAAACTTCAAGTGCTTTACATTCCTCTGGTATACGAATCAAGGGCCTACTTAGCTCAATGATTCTCGTAGTTGGTTCATAACGAAGAGTTGCTTTTCTAATCTTAATTGGAATTTCTCGACATACATCTACTGTCTCTTTGAATGTAAACTTGGCTAATTTCTTTATTCGTTTAGATGGTTTTGCTTTTAGTGCTGCCTTTGAAACGCCTAATTCCAATCCACTTTCATCAGTCTTCTTCATTGGGAAAGACAGAACCTTAATTCTCTTCTTGAATTGCGAAAGAGGTCTCGTTTCTCTTATCTTATTACAATTTCAAAAAAATACTTTATTATTAATTTTATCAATAAAAACAAATTTTTTATATTATATGATTATCGCTTTAAAAATACAATTATTTCACTAAAAGGATTTGTATTCCATATTTTTTAAATAAACCCAATTAAGCTGTTTAAAAATACATTCAATTTCAAATTACGTATTGTATAATTTAAAATTGATATGCTTTTAGGAAAGTTATTTATTTATTTTACTTCAATTAATAAAATTGCGTTAAAAAATGTTTTTCTTTATTCAAATTTAATTATAATTTATCTTCTTGATTTTCTGTTATTTGATTAAATAGCAACTAATATTATATTTACTATGGGTAATGGTTCAGGAATTTTTCGTGGTTGTGCATTGACTGCTGCCCAAGCATCAAATCTTGCCCAATCGTCGGGTGTCTCCAACCATCCTTTTGATTTAACTTTACGTTTTTTTCTTTAAAAAAAGAATAAAATATTTTTTAATTGAAATAAAATTTTAACCTAGAAGTTATATAAATTTTGAAAAAAGCGAAATTTCTAATACCTTTCCTTAATTTTCTTTTTCTTTGTGAATTTTGAAGGAGTCGTAACATTTAGAACTTTAGTAGGCATTATTTATTAAATTTAATTGATTTTCTTGTTCAAAATATTCGATCTGATAGTTTTTTTTACAATTTACAACAAATTTATATTTAGAAATAAAAGAAGTGAACGATTAATCTATTTTTTAAAAAATAAACATTTTTACTATATATGATGAAGATGTTTACTTGTGCATCTTTGTCTTAATTTTAAACTTCGAAAAAACATTTTGCAAATTATACATTTCTCTTAATATTTTTAAGATTTTTACTTTTAATTACAAAATACATGATGTTTATTATTAAATATGTACATGAAGTCAGTTAATTCTCACTTCATTTATTTCCAATAAAACAGTAAATTTAATTTAATTTCACGTATTCAGGGCACATCAGTTAAAATTTATTTCATTTTTTTTATCCCATAATTATATCGTCGTTAACATATTGTCCACAAATAAACTGCGTACATAAACTGTATACATTAAACCACAAACGATACAACTGTATACTGATTAATTTCAAAAAATTCTAATTAAAGAATTGTTTATGACAAAATTGTACACGAAATACATTTACAAATTTAATATATATATATATATATAAGTTTAAATTGTATCCAATTAAACTAAATTTATAAAACTTAAAAAATTTAAATATCATCGTTTTAATTATACGTTAATGTATGCTGTTTTTTCGTATGCAGATTATATATGAAAACAATTTCAACCGTGTCATAATTATAATTATTCGTTATTATTTTATTTTAATTAATTTCGAAATTATTAATTAAAAAAGTCAATAATAATTGGAACAGAGTAAAACAGTTATTTTTTAATTATCACTTTCTATATTTATTAAAATCATTTTGAACATATATATTTAATTAACTGAAATATTTATTGTATCATTTAATCAAAACTGTGTATGTGCGCTCTTAATTTTTTTAATTATATTTTTCTAACGTTTTTTTCCTGAATAGTTTTTCATTAGTTGAGAAAATTTATTTTCAGAATTAACACCTCCATATCCTAATTCGAGTGATTTTTTCATTGGTTTTGAAAAATCATGCAATCGTTTAAGATAAATACTTTTACGTCTTGCTGTAATTTTTGCATAAGTTTCAATATTTGGTTTTTGATCTTTATTCCCTTCGTTGATCGCAATACTTATTGGCGATTTTTCAACAAGATTTTCTGTAATTAATTTTAATTAATTACTTATTAATTTAATTTAATTTCTTTTTATTTAAAAAAAACATCATTTTGTCAGAAAAAAATGAAAATTGTTATTATTAAAATTTAGAAAAACATTTAATTACCCGGTTTTAATAGAGGTGTCATTGATAAAAATGATGGACTGAAATATTTAAACTTATCAGAAATGTTTCGCAATTTAGGTTGAGCTAATTTGTTTACATTTTCAGTTATTTCATATGTTAATGCTCCTGGTCTCACCTTAAATAATATTAAAATTTATTTATAAATTTATGTATTTTGACATTTATTTTTCATAAAAGTTTTATTTTAATTTTTTATTTAAGTTTATTTACATTAATTTTATATTTTTACTCACCTGAAAAGCATTTAACCTTACACTATTGTCAATTCTTTTTCTTGGCGTAGACAATTTTTCCAATCTGGGTTTCTTTTTATTACTCATATTTTTATCTAAATTGATTTTTGAATTTTCACTTTCAGACATTTTTAAACACTTTTTTAATTTTTCTCTATTATAAAATGAAATTTTGAATTTGCCAAATAAATATAAATGTGTTTGAATTTTGAGCCAAAAGAATACTATTTTATTAAAACAATTCTCAGAAATAATCTGAAGTCATCGTTAAATCAATTGTGTATCAATCAAAATTTTTTGTTTATAATTTTTTAATTAGATAATCAATAATGAATCTAATTCGCTAAATTAATACACAGTTATTTTTAATTATGATATATGGAAATATTTGTAAATTGATTCGATAATTTTAATTCAAATAAATATTTAATGTATATACTTATTTCAAAAAATTTTTAAATAATATATTACGAACAATATTATTAGCTTTCTATAAAAGAATACCTCATATATTGATTTAAAAGACAAATTATGTACACTACCGGCAGAAATATTGTCGGTACGCCTGACGTGCGAGAAGTGGAAATTTAATGCTGAACTTAAGAAAAGATATTTTAAGTTACAAAAAAGTTAGAGACTTGTAACTTAGATGGTTGAAAAGCTGATGAAATTCTGCGTTAAGAAAAAATTATGCAATTTTCCTACTTTCGTACTGATGTTTTTGACTCCTGGCATAATCTAGAATTTTGTATAGAAAAATTTGACAATTTTACACCATAATCTTTAAGGTCTTAGGTTTTATTTACATTTTCGAAACTTAAAAAATGTTTTGTGGTTCCTGAAATATGTTAAGAAAGGTCCGACCTAATTTTTCTACAACTCAGCCGTTGATCGTCACTTTTCGGCGCCTTGCTGCTAGGTTGTAGAAAAACATTATCATTATCATCAAATTCTAAACAATTAAACTCAACTAAACCAGTTAATTAAGCACTCACAGTTTATCATCAGGATTATGGATACGCATGCTCATAATGTGAAGCATCTCACTTTGAAGTTGTTTGTGAGCAATTCAGGGAGCTCTCACTACAAGAAAGGCGGGAACTCGTGATTGATAAACAGTTATGCTTTAACTGTTTTGGCAGGCATTCTGCTTATTCATGTCAAAGCTCAAAAAGATGTTGAGAATGCAATGGGAAGCATCATACGATGATTCACATTCCAGATCAAAAGAAATTCCAACGCTCATCCAAGGTCAGTACAAAAAACATCAACGGAAAATAGACCTATTGTGCTTCTCGCTACTTTTCAAGCTCTACTGCTTCTCAATTCTGGCCTCTCTCATCCAGTGAGGATTCTTTTAGACTCTGGTTAAGAACCATTCCTCAACCATTCCTATCATTGGGATTGGAGGAATAGCATCTGGAAATATTTGGGGAATGGTCACAATCAAACTTCAAACAGTTCATTCTGCCTGCTCGCTTTAGCTTAATGCTTACATCCTCTCAAAAGTCTCCTCAAATATTTCTTCAATTACCTTCTCTGCTCAATCCATTCCTCAATTTTAAAATTTACAATTCACTGATCCTCAATATTTTTGTAGCTCACAATTAGATATCATCAGTGGAGCGTATCATTATGGACAGCTCTTTAAAGAATGTTATGTTCAAGGCACTCACTCATCACCAACAGCTCTCAATACCATTTTTGGCTGGGTTATCATCGGTCCTTTCAAAGTCCCATCATCTCAACCAAGTTACAATTATCATCTCTCAATTGATCATCAACTCACCGATCTACATGAACTTCTCAAAAGGTTTTAGGTACAACAGACCACTCAATACTAAAAACTCACTTTCACCAGCTGAATTGGAATGTGAAAATCAATTTCAAGCTACTCATTCTCATGACTCATCAGGAAGATATATCATTTGGCTACCACTCAAACTCTTTATCAAGTCTTCTTGGCGACTTAAATATCATTGCTGAACGATGTCTTCAATCATTACTTAGGCGAATCTCAAAAAATCAATCTCTGCACGATATGTATCACTCATTTCTACAAGAATATGAGCACCTCAATCATATGACTCATGCTCAATCAACAAACTCATCATCACCAATCTACTACCTACCTCATCATGGAATTCTCAGAGAACAAAGTACAACAACCAAATTAAGGGTTGTTTTCAATGGATCATCGGTAACCGGCTCAGGGATTTCACTCAACGACATTTTACACACTGGGGCGAAACTTCAGAAGGACATCTCAGATATATTGCTCTGGACCAGGAAGTTCAGATTCATCTTCTCAACTGATATCACAAAGATGTTTCGCCAAATCAAATTTCATCCACTTTATTGGGATTTACAACGAATCTTGTGCGTAAACAAGGATCAAGAAGAGGTACCATATCAACTCACCACAGTCAGCTACGGTACAAAATCAGCACCATTTTTATCAGTCAGAGCAATTCTACAACTCACTGAGGACGTAGGTCATGATTTTCTTCTAGCGGTACGAGTTATCAAATATGGAAGATATGTGGATGACATTTACGGAGGATCGGATCAATTAGATGAAATCATTCTCATAGCTCAACAAGTGAAAGGTCTTGTCAATCGCGGTCGATGCTCACTGGCAAAGTGGCAAAGTAATCATCCAGAATTAATCAACCTCACTTCACCAAAGACATCTCTGAAAAAACTTACTCGTTTGAAGACAACATCACAAAGGTACTTGATCTCTAATGGTGTACTCAAAATGATTGTTTCAAATTCACCACTCAACCATCATTTCAATCATCGAAACGGATGGATCTCAAAAAGGATCATATTATCAGAAGTGGTTCAACTATTTGATCCTCTAGGATTTCTTTCACCTTTCACTGTTCGTGCCAAGATGTTATTACAGGAGCTCTGACTTAAAAAGGTCGAATGGGATGACTCACTATCAGAATCAACTATAAAAAAATAGCTCAAATTCAAAGAGGAATTTTCTCAACTCTCATCAATCTCAATACCAAGGTGACTTAATCTCACTCCTTCATCAATGGTAGAACTCCATGGCTTTTCGGATGCATCTCATCTAGCAATGGCGGCGGTAATTTTCATCAAGGTTACTATCTCAGGACTCGAACCATAACTCAATCTCATCTGTGCAAAAACCAAGGTTGGAACTCTCGGCAGGGCAATTTTTAACTCGTCTCATGGCTTACACTCAACGGACGCTGGATTTATCTCATGCATCAATTTTTATGTGGACGGACTCACAGGGATTCAAAGTCAACCCTTAAAATGGAAGGATTATGTACAGAACAGGGTCTCATTCATACAAGATCATTTACCTCATGTTCAATGGCGGTTTTTCAAAGGAACAGAAAATACAGCGGATTGTGCATCTCGGGGATTGGCAATCTATAAACTCAGGGATCATATTTTTTGGTAGAATGGACCACCATGGTTAAAGGAGTCATCGGATCATTGGCCATCCCCTAAGGTTAAGGAAAATTACTCTTGTCAGCTCAACTTGAAGAGCGGCTAGGACTCCCTCAGGGTATATCAACAGATCCTCATTCTCACCTGTGGAACATCAATTTGCATCAGGGTCATCAATCATCTCAAGCAAATTCCACAATCACAACTTGGATATCCTATCACTCCTGGCAATCATGGCAACACACAAATACACTTACAAAATCAGGACGCGCGCAACACACACAACCAACGCGCTGCGTGTACGCACATTTAGCATTCTCATAGCAATCAACCGAAAAAGTCGTTCTCACCATCATTTTGCAGTAAGCGAGCATTAATCTCAAAAACAATAAACTTAAACATTTATCACGGTATATCTCATTATCGGATCATTCTGATTCTTTTCGGTGTTCTCAATTTTATTAAATAACGTTTCGGCAACTTTCAAAACAATTAAACTTTTGTGCTTGACCTTAGCGTGGTCACGCCATTTTTGTTCATTGTATACTACATTTGTAATTCAAAATAAAGTGTGGAAATTAAATGAATTTTGTGCATAATTGACTTATTTCCTCCATCCACTTCTCATTGAAAACTTAAGAGCAAATCTCAAACAGTATAAGTGTATTAAATAAATGGAAGAATAACTTTTTTATGAAACTATATAAAGAATTTTTTATTTAAAAATTTTCATGGACGGCATAGTATATTAAAAACGATGTACAATATCAAAATTAATTATCATTAAAATTATGAAAATATTAAAAATGGACGGAATTAATATAAAATCAGATCTAAAATTTTATAGTAAATATCGTTAAAAATTAGAAACTATCTTCTTCTTATCAGTAAAAATCGCATTCACTTCAAAAGGCGCAATATATGTAAGTTTAACAACTTTTACAATTATCTAAAAACTACATAGTTCATAGTTTTTTTTTGACTCATAGTCAATTGTACTTTACGAATGTATATGCATAAAATATATATACAATGTAATAATTTTGTATAAAAATCTTTTTAAGACCATGTTGAATATTTCCATGAGACCAAGTATGGTAAAATGTGTTTTACCAAAACCAAACTTTCTCAAAAATAAGAAAGGATTTTGAGCTAAAATTTTCAGAGATGATAGAGAAACGTACAATGCACATTGCTATTCTCATGGAAAAACAAAACTTCGCGTTAAGTTATTAAAAAAAAATAAATTTAAAAAGTCATATTTTGAAAAAATGACATGACGGTGAATACACAGACGTCACCTGATTGAGAGTATCAGTAGCTGAAAGAGTTGATATTTGATCGAAAAATAATTGTTCAAGTTTAGTGATCTGTGTTGATAAAAATCCCTTCCGTCTCAATTTTTATCATTTTTGCGTTAAATTATAGTAAATGAGTAGAAAAACAATGTTCCTTGTACCCATCTCCATAATTTCTTAAAAATTTTAACCCCAAAATCATTTTTCATTTAAGAAAAAGGTTGAGAGTTCTAAAATATGACTTTTTTCCACATGATCTTAAAGAACATTACAAAGTGTAAATAAGACTAATTCTCAAATATTGTTCAAATAATTTTCTCAGTGGGCCTAACCTCCAATGAGGTTTCTAAATCGTTTTTAGAACGAAAATGTATGTTAACATAACATTCTAAGAATGATTCATGTTCCGAAAACGTTTGGCAAACATGAACCATTTTCAAAACGTTATTTAAGCAGACAAAAACGTTATTGGAACAGAACGTTTTGTTATAATTATTAACAATAATATTACTATAATCTCCACTAATATTTACTTCTTAAATTTAACGAGCGAATTTTCAAAGTTCAACTATTTTTAAACATCTTAAGTTTATGTGATTGTTGTGATTTCACATGTAATTTTTCTACGCCAGTATTTTGTGAAAAAATTTGCGGAGAATATTTACATGTGAAATCACAATAATCACATGACCTTAAATGAAAAATGCAAATCGAAATAATTCAAAAAAGTCATTTTGGTATTATTACACGGATATGTACAGTATCAAATACAGTCTTGTAGAATTTCTCTTATAAAATTTGAGATTCAAATAGATATATATACGATTTTTCGAAGTCAAGAGTATTATAATATTGAAATTCTACTGGCTCTTAAATACCATAACACTAATTCTCAAACATTTTTTTATACTCGGTCATTAAGTGTAAAATTTAAAAAAATTATCAAAAATATTTATCTGCTAAAAAATAGAGTAAAAATAATCATGGTAAAAGAGCCCAATAGAGAATATGTTAATGAGGCAGCTCCAGCTGCGCAATCAACGATTCTTCTTGCTCTCATAAAATCTGGACCTAAATATGCAGTATATTCACGTTTTTCCTTTGGAATAATGACCAACTGTTGTGTTGCATCTTGAAATATTAAATCACTGTACGGTGGAACACTATAAAACATACTAAAACTAAAATCATCCTGTTCCTTTCTACCATAGAATTGTTGTGCATAAATAAAAAGATTAATATATGCATTGACTTGTGTCTCGTTGTAACCCTCTCCTCCACGAGTAACGATTGCATTAGCGGCAACTTTTCCCAAATTACATTCTTTATAATTATTAGTACCGCGACGAGTTCCATCTGGACAGAGAAGTTGAAAATCTCTCGTAAATGTATTACGAGCCCACCATTCCTTTCGTTTACCATCTGTATTTTCTGCTACTGTTGTATGCTTCACAAAAGCAACATCGCCTCCACCTTCCACTAAACATCTGAAAGCTCCAGTGTATCCAAAATAATCTTCAGAATGATCTCTTCGACAATATTGTTTACTTGTTCCATGACAAAGATCGCACAAATTGTCATAAGGCACACCTAGGCAAAAAAATTATTTGTTTATTCTCACTTTACTTTATACATAACATATTTAGTGATAAAATAGTTATTTACAAAATAATTATTTTCTTTTATATTTCAATATTATAAATAAGACGCTTTACAGCATTAGAAAAAAGAATTCAATAGTCCTATTAAATATTAATTTTTATCAACTGAATATTTAAAAATTTGTATAATATTTATGCATTTAATTTTGAAATATTCATTGAAAATATGAAAAAGAAAATAAAACTATTTTTCCTAAATAAATTTGTCTCTCTTTATTTTAAATTTATCATGTATTTTTCAATAAAAAATGATTATGAATTAAATACAATTGAATTTTGTATTTTTATAGTAACAAAAAAATATCCCAAAAATCTAAAAACAAATATAAAAAATGTATAATAGAATATGAATATAAATGTATTTTATGAAATAAAAGTATCATTTTTTAAATTTAAATGATATTTTTAACAAATAGTGCGAAATTATAAAGACTTTATTTCCCAATGCAAAAAATTCCATCATTTTATTAAAATTGCCTCTAGGCATTAGTGAAAAACAGGCAAAATGTTTGAACTGATTTTTTTAATAAATTATATACTTTATTTCAAACAGTATTACTGTACTGCAACCCCGATAACCCCTGAGTAACCATTTTCAGCCATATTTGTTAACTTTTAAATGTTTTTTTTACGATGCCACTATAGCGGTCATAGACATACAGGGTACGACTTTTATAATAATATTTTTTGTAAAATTAATTTGTTAAATAAATAATTGTTTATAAATAAACAAGTATTTGCAATTAAACAAATACTTGTAGGTAAACAATTATTTATAAATATTAAACATGAAAACAAATAATTATGTATAAAATAAATGTTAATAACAATTAATCATATCATCTCTTAGGAGACCAGGTGTTATAAGAAGATAATTGGAGACCCACCATAATACACGTATTAAGTTAATAATACAAAACCTTATAAAAAGAAGGATTATATGATTGTTCTTTTAAACAATTATTAATTATCAAGAAAATATCATTCTTATAATAAATAAATAATCTTTTGTTTAATTATCATTTTGTTCATTCATTTAATATCCTCTCTCCAACTTAGTTTCTTTAACTAAGTTAAATTGAGGAACTAGAATAGGGAATAATTATAAGTTCCTAGATTATGAAAAATTAATAATAATTAAAAATTTAAATTAAATAATTATGACATAACACTATTTAATGATTTGTTACACGGAGAGAAATCTGCTGCGATTTTTGCTTGTGCAGTCTTTATTAATTTCATAAGTCATTTTTCGATACAACTTTAGCTTAAAGGCACTCTCACACCTTTTTGGCTGCCTGCCTGCCTGCATGTTACCATGGCAACGCACGAGTGGGAGTGAGACAGAAAATTTGAATATTCAAATTTTTAAATTTTCTGTCGCACTCACTCTCATGCGTTGCCATGGTAATCTGCAGGCAGCCAAAAAGGTGTGAGAGTGCCTTAAGACTGGAATAATTTAAATATGAATTCATGTATTTAATGTAATGGAGTATATCAAACAAAAAACACAATTCACGGGTGTTAATTTTGCATGAATTTCACATAAAAACTGCAAAGGGGACATGCCATAAAAGTATTAGATCCTCCTCTTATAAAATTTGCAAGAATGCCATCTGATTTTCAGGTAGAATTTATACAACACAATCTTACCTCCGTATACACACAGCATTTCACACACAAATATTATATGCTGCGTTGATTCCGAGGAACGGCGCACAATCTATGCGCGCTACGGAGTTCGTGTTCCTTATATTCAACGTTCAAGTGATAAAAAAATGTGCTCGTTTATTTTCGTCATCTAAAGTTTATAACATAACAGTATTATGTATAACTTTAAGAATTTATTTTAAACAAATTTTTAAATAAAATTATTTTAAATTTCGTGGTTAAAAACGCATAGTAAAACACGGGCGTGCGCATTGTGCGTTCCGTTCCTCAGAATCACCAGCATACAATGATTGTGTGTGTGAAATGCTGTGTGTATACGGAGGTAAGATTGTGTTGTATAAATTCCACCTGAAAATCAGATGGCATTCTTGCAAATTTTATAAGAGAGGATCTAATACTTTTATGGCATGTCCCCTTTGCATTTTTTATGTGAAATTCATACAAAATTAACACCCGTGAATTGTGTTTTTTGCTTAGAAACTATTTTTACAATAAATACTTGAATTTATGCTAAAAATTCAAGTGTCGTGCCATGTAATTAAAGTAATTTACTCATCCAAGCAAAAATCGCAGCAGATTTCTCTCCGTGTATATTTTACAATTATGTTAATTTTTGTATTTTTTTTCAATCCATCGTACTTTTTACGGAAGGAAAAATTTTTTTTTATCCCGTTTACTCATAAATTATTATAATAAATAAAAATACTGATAAATTAGTTGATTAATTATAAAATGCATTTACCTATATTATATTCTGTACTGAGAGCTCCAGGTACACAAGATTTGGTGAAATATTCAGCAGCAGCGCGAATAGAATTACAGCCATATCCTCTCATCCATCTGTTGGTAAGCAAATAAGAAAGTGGATACACCCATCCTGCAGCTGTATTAATTCCTGTGTGACAAGTGTATTTATTTTTTAAATACGTTAAATCCGTGTCAGGGTCGTTTTCTTTACCAACGGCTACCACATAATATTCAGGAGAGCCAAGATTATAAACTTCAGAAATAAATGGAATTAAATTAAAACGTAAACCGGCAGTGTAAATGTCACTCGCATCCAATACTGTTACGTCAGCGAATCTAAATAAACATTAAATATCGTAGGATTAACAAAACAATCCATAGTTTTATAGAAATTACATAAAAATATTCGAAAAATAAAAAAAAATCATATACTAATTAGAACTTATCTATTTCTTACCCCTTTTCTATTTCACGCATGCAGTTAATATGACTGTAACCTTTGTGACAAATAATTTGTGGTTTCAATAATTGTGCATCCAGAGCAATCTACAAAAAAGAATTTTAAAAAATTTAATTTTAAATAAAATATTTATTTAATTTATTACCGTCAGCACAAGATTTACCTTCATTTTGATGCACTTTGATAATTCTGCATCGGATGTAACACAAACTTTCATTCTATTAACAGGACAGTTTCTCAACGCCAAAATAAAGTCAAGAGTCTTTCCCAAATATTCCGAATATATTTGATTCTTCTCTGGCAATGACACAAAATCTCTTGCTAAATCCTGAAACGATTTTAAAAAAATTCAGTTATTCACAATTATTTTATGGAAATTGAAAAAAGAATCAAAATTATGAAATTAATAGGTAAGCATATGAATCTTACGGAAAAGAGAAGATTGTGCTTTGAATATTTTGGAGATGACTCGAATAAATTGAAGTTGTCCACTCTTCTAATGTAAGGCGTTTCAGTTGTGTATCGATTATCATCATAATAATTATTTCGGTCATTATATGAATTACCCCCAGTATCAAATCTTCGTCCATCATTACTCTGATTTCTATCAAATCCATCACCAGAATAGTTATTAAAAGAATCTCGACCATCTGATCGACTATTAAAATCATAAGTAGAATTATTTTTTTCTGGCGCATAACGTCGTGCTGCCTTCTCTAAAAATTTTTGATATAATTTTCTTCTAAATTGATTACTTGCTGAAGATGTGACAATTGCTCGTGAAGGAATTTCACCCCAATTACAATTTCGATAATCATCTACTGGTCTTCGTGATCCATCCAAACAAAGCAATTCATAATCGTTTTTGGTATGTAGAGCTTAATATAAACAAATTATAAATTATTATTTATCATTTATTATTATTATTATTTAGAAATTGTAAACGGGCTGTACTCTTTGAGTACGTAGGTACCTGAATAATAATGTTATAAAAGTAATCAAATTACAAGAAAAAAAAGTATAATTATACCGCAGTGCCAACATTGTAATCTTGAAATATATGGTTACGTAGTACTTTAATAAATTTAAAAATGGAAAACTCGAAGAAATTAGTTTTACATATACCATTCGCTTCCCTATACTCAGTCTTCTCAAAACAGAGTTCTCTCCATAAGCCGTTCTACTAAAAGGCACATAAAAAAGTGGTGCTGGCATACGTGTTCTACAAGGAACAAAAAAATTAATTTTTGACAAAATTTCTGGATAGTCAATGACACTGTTAATTATTTTATATAAGAAAAAGCAAATCCACAAAAAGAAATCTTTGTTTAATTGTAGATAAACCAAAAACCGTTTTAAGATTACTATAATCATGAGAAAAAAGGTCAAAGGAAATACCTGCTCGAAAAGCAATAAAACGTAGAAATCAATTTTGCACATATTCAAGTCGGGTGATATGATGTTGCTGATACGGTAACCATATTATTGATAATGACTCAATGAGTGACCTAACAAATGTGAATAAAGTACTCTTAATGTTTCTTATATTATCAAAATAAGACGAATTATAAAGCCAAGAGACTTTACAGCCTTACTAGTTAAATTTGTTATGTGATCATCAAAAGATAAATCATCACAAAGAATAACATCAAGATCACGGATCTTATTTTTCTTTTCTATTTGATACATCCCAATGGCAAACCGTCTATTTTCGCGTCGCTGACTGCCTGTGCACTCTTAATCTTTTTTATTTTTATATTCTGTATTATTGGGTTCACCAAGTACCCACCCTATAATCTACTGTTTAGTTGCTAAATGCTTCTGAATAAAAGTCTTCTAATACAGATTTTGGACAGCCTTTAACTGATTAGACATTTAATATGGAGTTCTGCTGGAAATTCTGACGTGATTCGCTGCATTGATAGCTTTTCACAAAAAATGGAATGGTATTCCTAATTCAATCATCATGCATCGTGCAGCTTCGACCAAAGTCCTATTTTTACGTTCTGCCATTAAGTTTTATTGTGGCGTGTACAAAACTCTCAAACGATAGTGAATCCTTTCTTTTTTTTTTAAATTTTCGACCTTGCCTGCATTGTCAGATTGAATATCATTTTTCCTGTTCGATTTTCAACGAACTTTCTATACTCGATGATCTTTTCAACGACTTGCGCACCACCCAATGAATTAACTGTCTTTGAACCACAAATCAATTTGCTGTCACCAAAAAGAGCACTTGTCATTTCGAAATCGGTTTTGTGTTTATCAAATTTTGATACCGCACAAAAAGATGTTTACATCAACAGAGGAAAAATAAGTCACCGATTCGATCAGCTGTAAAAAAAATCTGACCAGTATGGTCCTTGAAGAATCTTTTAACATTACTTTCGTATTTGCACCTTTTTCAATTTCGAATAAAACGTCACCTTTAGCTTTCAGGGCAATTATTGTAAAGGTTTTGTTTTAGTGCTTAAGTTCGGATATGGACTTATACAAAGCATTAATTCCGCTTTTGCTTTTAGATCGACTTGAAGCCATGCTTTTGTTCGGTTTGAAATGCATTGCTTCGCCTAGTCCAGTCACTTCAGGTTTCTCCATTTTCGCCCTATACATAAGTCCAAGAGACGTTCCTGGTGAAGAGGGCTTTAACTTGAATTCGCCAAGTATCGTAATTATATCGTGATATTATTTGCAGTCACATCGTGTTCGAGCAGTGCGCTATTTTTAGGGTGTACTTTTATCGACTTTTGCGTTTTTCGATTTCAATTTGATATCACGAAATACTATACTCATTACGAGTTAACGAATAATTGCGTAGTTACAACACAAGTAATAGCACAAGGAAAATGAAAAATATTAAAATTGGTAAAAAGAAAGAAGATGCTAACGTTATCTGGCAAATTATAATTTTAAAAAACTGTTGTCGAACTGTTTTCGTAAACATTTTAATTCTGTTTTTACAATTTCTTCGCCTAACATATCATCAGCAAACTTCGATTACATAAATTCATGTCATATCAACACTTTTTCAATTAATAAAAGAACAATTTTGTCAAAATTAAAAAACTTAGATGTTAAAGAGGGAGCAGGTGCAAATCATATTTATTTATATTAATACTAATAATCACTATTTCTTTACTTTTAACTATCGCCCTATATTAGTTGCAGGCGCCGTTAGATGGCAGCAGCATGCAGGGAGCACAAAGTTGCAACTGTAGTGATTACTAGCATTAGTATAAATAAATGATTAATTTTTTTATAACATGTGTTAAAAAACAATTTCATTAAAGAATTGTGAATATAAAATAAAAATTCTGCAACTTTTTAAAAAAAAAAAGAATTTTGTTAAAAAATTGTAATTGTTGAATAAATTTTAATCTTAATTTTTCTTATTTTTATGTCTAAAAAATTATATTTTTGTTGAAAATTATGATTGCAAAATACAAATTTAACTAAATTTTTTGATCTTTTATTTAAGAATTTTTTAAAAAGTTATAAGTAAAAATTTATGAAAAATATATCAGCTTAATTTTTATTATTTTAACAAAATTCTTAAGTTTTTTTTATAAATAAAGAAAAAAATTGCATATTTTCTATTTGATGAATGTTTAAAATTTGTAACTCTTTTCAAATCTTGGCGCGCGTTCCGCCGTTCGGAATTGAAACGTAATTTGCTATAGGTATCGTGCATATCTAAAGTGACAGATTTGACAAATTTCACTTTTTTCCTTAATAATTAAATAATTCTCAATTAATTTAACATAAACAATGCAGAAGTGAACTCTTAAGAAGTCCATCTCTCAATTACAAAATGTTTTTTGAACAATTTTAGCTTATTTATCAATTTTTTTTACGTTATTCCTAATGTTGACCCAATATCCACCCAGCGGGGTGGACATTGGGTAAATCAAATCCGCCAGGGCTTTATCAAGATTCACTACTAATTGAACTTGAACGTATTCAAAATAGATTTTTACGTTTTCTTGAGAGACGGGCAGGCTTGCCTTTTGTCTATTACAGTCATGAATATTCTGACCTTCGGCGAATTTTGAGTATTCCATCAATTAAACAAAGATTTTTGTACAACGATTTACTTTTTCTTTTTAAAATTATAAATGCATTATAAATTGCCCTGCGCTTTTGTCATTAATGAATTTTTTTTGTTCCTATTAAACCGATTAAATATCGCCTAAATTATTGAAGCAAACTCTACATGTTACAAATTGTAGCCAAAATTCTGCTATATCTAGAATTATCATCAGTGAAGTAAATCAGTTTCATACAAGTTTGAATTTTTATGGCATCTCTTTAAATATGTTTATTACTAAGCTACGAGACCTCGTATTTCATTATGATTAGACTGTTATTATCTTCGCCTAATTTTTGTTCTACTTATATTTTGTTAATTTTCAAATTTTAATTATAAGTACATTTGTACGAAGGGGCACTATCCGTAAACATGTTAATAAATAAATAAAAAAAGACCGTAAACATTAATATTTAATATTGATAATTCTAACAAATGTGAAATAATTTAATATATGAAAAAACTTACAATTTTCGTATAATTTTGCTGTCATTTCTTGTACGGTTGAATGAACCAGAAAAGCTATATCTCCAGCTTCGGATAAACAGCGGAATGCTCCTTCGTAATCAGAATATGGATCTGCATTTGTACATTTACCTCCAGGTAATTTTCCAATGCACAAATCACAAAGTTGATGAGAATTATCGCCTAAAATTCGTAAAGTATTCTTAACACAATTTTCCAATTTTTTATAATAATTTCAAATATTTTTAAATTTAATTGAAATAAAAACTTTACCTAATGGATTATATTTGTCGATTAATGAATTCACAGCACAACTTGCTCCAAAATATTTAATCGCAGATTTTACATGATTATTACAATCATGAATTTCCATTCCTCCATGTTTTATTAGCTATAGTATTAAAAGTAGTTAATTAATTGGAAATTATGATAAAGTATTATTAAAATTTATAGATAAAGTAGATGTTATAATATTCTTATGATATTATATATTAAAATAAAAGAGGAGGTGGGCGCAAAAATTTATTTTTCCCGGATAGAAAATTTACCTCAGTCAGCCCCTGTTAAAAATAAATTGGTTCAAATAAGCGCACAATGTGTCTTTCTACTGAAAATTATTTTTTAAAAATAGTTCCATGTTTTTATCGACTTAAAACTAATGGGATATTATTTCTAACACCCTAAGGGAACATTTAAGCAAAAAAATTCGATTTTTTGAAAGTGTTTGGCTAATGTTACCCCTTAAACCATTTTGGGCAACACGTTCTTCCAAATGGAAGTAGGAATTCTTGCCTACCTACTGAAAAGTAAAAAGGTAACCGTCACTTCTGAACTAGAATTAGCAACAAAAAGTCGAGATTCTCGACTAAAAAGAGAGACATATTCGCCCAAAATGAAAGCAAAGGTCCATATTGTGGACCTAACAATCACATACTGTTAAATTTTGTAAGAGTATGCGACTGCATTTAGGAAAATTGTTTTACTGTGTAAAAATAAATTCTCTTTTTAGAATTACATGTATATAAAAATTTGAATACCTGATTTAGTGGAATGACCCATCCACCTAATATACCGACACCAGGAAAGCAAGCTTTCTTGCCTCGTAAATGATGTAAATTGGAAACATCAGTTAAAGAATTTTTCTTAACAACTGCAACTGCATATTGATAATTTAATTTATTATCGTAAATTTCTTTCATTATTGGAATGAGACTGTGATATCTTCCAGCTGTAAAAACTTCACCAGCGTCTAAAGTAGTTAAATGTGCCTTTTCTTGATCCAAAAGAAACATGCATTCTTCTTTATTAAAAGCATGAGTACAATTTAATTGAATGTAATGTGCACCAAAGTATAATCTATCTCGTGATGTGACGTTTGCAAATTCTGTACATTTATCAAATTCATCCTTAGACACAGTGCACCACTTTGCTGTAATGTTTTCATTTTGTCCTAAAAATAAACATTTTTATTAATTAATTGTTTATTCTTTTTTTAATGTTATATGATCATTACACCGAAAAGAGTTTATTCTAAAATTAAGCCTTTTGACACGAATTTTAAAATATTTTATGTAATTTATTTTTTAATTCAGTATATTATACTATTCTTAAAATAAGTTGTAAATTCAGATGTTCATTACATGAACATTTTGCTTCCTCTTTACGATCAGCAAAAAAATTTGCATTCTAATGGAGAAAGAATTAACATTGAAATAAACATACAAAAATAATATAATAATATAAACATTTGAGTACCTATAGATTTGAGTTAAATTTAAAGAATTAACCCTGTGGGCAAAAAACCATGTTCGTTCTAAAAACGTTTTAAGGACGTTCTTAAAACATTTCATGTCCGCCAAATAATGTTCTGGAACATTTTAAGAACATGGATGTTCAAATAATGTTCCAGAACATTATTTGGTGGACATGAAACGTTCTAAAAACGTTTTTAGAACGAACATGGTTTTTTGCCCACAGGGAATGGAAGTTAAAAAATCAAAAATTCACATTTTAGCTGCTAAAAATTAATAAAAAATAATATATAATTTATAATTATTTCTAATAATTATATCGATTCGTTTCAATGCAAGGAACACAATTATTTTATATTTAAACTTGAATTTAAATAAATACAAAATTTTTCAGCTAAAATGTGAATTTTTTATTTTTTAACTTTCATTAATTTATTAAATTTACTTCAAATGTAAACTGGATATATACCAATCGATTTGTTTTCATGCAAGGAATACAATTATTTCATCTATAAACTTAAATTTAAATAATCACAAAATTTTATAGCCAAAATGTGAATTTTTGATTTTTTAACTTTCATTAATTCTTTAAATTTAAATTAAAACTATAGGTACTTTATATATACCGATCGATTTATCTTGACGTAAGGAGTACGAATTTATTATATATATATAACCTTACATTTTTCTATTTAAAAATTTTTTCGATTAATAAAAAATTTTTGGAAAAAAGATGATAAATTTTTTTTTTTGGGTATTTTTTAAAAACCTTTGGTCAGTTTTGAGATATTAATATGATAAATAAGCCTACAAAATTTTATCTAAATCTATTAAAACCTGTTAAAGTTATCTTCTAAACAAAAAGGGGATCCACACACACACATACATACATACATCCGGACAATTGATCAGGATCTCATATAACATGTTTCTATATAGAGAAAAATTTGTTTCCGCCACTTTGAAAATTTTTATAAATGAAAGGACTACAAAGCTTCCTCCACGAGGAAGCAATAAGAATAAATCCTATATATTATTATTTCACGAAGCTGAAGTACGCAACGTTTATATAAACGATTTTTAAAGAAATAATTTTTTAAAATGAAAAATTCTATAATTTTTTACCTAAAAAATATTTCTTGTAGTTTTCATTAATCAACAAATTATAAAAAAATATTTTTTAAGCAAAAAATTATAGAATTTTTCATTTTAAAAAATTATTTCTTTAAAAATCATTTATATAAACGTTGCGTACTTTAGCTTCGTATTATTCCAATAGTAGAATATACTTAACTTAATATATTTAATTTAAATATTCTTAAATAGATGCCAAAGATATGTTCTTAATTTCAGAATAATTTTTTTTCCAATGTATTTTAAACCAATTATCATTATTTTTGAGGGATAAAGAACATTCTCTCAATTATGTTTTGAACAAATTATTTATTTATTCTAACTTTTAACGGGACATAAGCTCTTTAGTACAATGTACTTCAAAAAGATTACAAACTAATAATATTTTTATAATAAATTAGTTAAATAATTGTATTTTAAAAATAAATTACAAAATTACAAAATTAAACATAAGCTTTTTATTTACATTATTTTTTCTAATGAAATTTTTAAAACTTTGACCGTTTTATTTCAAATTCAAAGATTTTTATATTTTAAAAAATAATTAAACTACAAAATAATTGAATTTTACATTAAGTAAATTTAAAGATTTTTTAAATTGTTTATTGTCAATGAATTAATAGTATCAAAAAATTTTTTATTTTTTTTTTTAAATTTTTTAAGTTTTGAAAAAATTAATAAACTTTAAAAAAGTTGTTTTTAATTCAAAAGAATAATATAAATTTGGATTTAATGTTCAAAGTTCATAATTCTTCAATTTTTGTTAAAAATTAATTTTCTTATAATTTATTCAAAATACATCTAATTGTTTGAATATACAAAATAGTACTCGATTTTTTTAATAATGATTCATTAGTAAGTAATGTATATATACATTTACAGAGCTCACACCCACTTAAAAGACATTGAAATTTTAGAAAACTCTTCTCTAATTTATTCTTTTCAATATATGATAATTAAAAAATTTTAAAACACAAAAATTGTTTTTTTTTTTAATTCAAATTTTTGTATGATTTTTAAAATATAAATAAACAATTTCCAAAATAATAATTGAAGCAAATTTAATAAAATATCTAACAATCTCTAAAATTTATTTAATAAATTATTGAAAACTTAAAATAATATTTGAAAAATGATTATTCAATTATTATTAAAATTTTAATTTATTTATTTATTAAAAGAAAAATATTTTTCTTGTTAAAATAAGGTTAACTTATAGAATGTTCTGTAATATTTTGAAATGTTTTTTTAACACTAAGTGCAAGTATAGCTTACCTTGAACATTTTGAATAAAAATTATAAAAATCCATAAAAGAGCAGCACTAACAAAATACCAATCGCACTTCATTTTTATAAAAAAAATTTATTAATACCGCCAAAAAGGCAGGTATCAATGAATAAATGACAACGCCCAACACTTTATTACACTCTCATCAACACAACGTTGCACAGTACACAGCGTTCTTCATGCTACAGTCATGCTACAGTCATTTCATTTCAGTACCATAATATAGATGAACAGTTTGACGTCATTCAATAATGATTCTCATGAATACTCACGTGAGACGGCAGGTGCAAGATCTTTTAAATCTAGGCGATATTTGGAAAATTTTTAAATATACTGTTATTTCTCATTATAAATAACTTATTTATAATTTAGTAATAATTTAATATTTATTACTAATTACATAAAAAATTTAAAAACTTTATTAAATTTTTTTAAATTGTTTCATTTAAAAAAAATTAAGAAAAAACAAAATGAATAAGTTTATTTATTTATTAAAAAATAATTAAATTAAAATTAATAATTACAATAATACTCAAATACAAATATAAATTTCAATGATTTTAAGAATTGATCTCAAAGTTGTGGTAAATGACTTAATTAATTTTATTTAAAAATTCAAAATAAATGCGCAAAAAAGAACTAGCTACTTTGGTTCGATACTTCGATTACAATATGGACGTTAGCGCGCGATAGTTTCAAAATAGAAAAAAACAAAGCTTTTGAATTTTATAAACAAACAAGAATCAAAATAGAACCTTTAAAAATCTACAAATTCCGTATTATTTAACATGTCAAAATGAAAAAAAAAACAACAAAATTTTTGTAAAAAAAAATAAATTAATATAATTTAAATATTTTTGGATATATCAAAAAACTTTAATCACAATGTCTAAAAGCTCTATAAGATCTAAAATATCAATTCGATCTCAATCTCGACAAAAAAAGTATGACACTGTAATAATTTTAATTGAATATTTAATAAATAATTTTATTATTTTTGTATATAATTTGATTTTTTATTTAACTTCTAATCGTTACATTATATTATTCCCTTAATAATTAATTATATTTAATTTATATTCATACCTTTTGTTTATAAGATATTTAAATTTTCAATGTAGAAAGAAAAACGTTAATATAAGAGGTAAAAAGGAAATTGTCTTTTGTTGTGGAAATGGTGATTTTGATCCATTATTTAAATATGATCAAAAGAATCCTCCATTTAAATCATCAATAACAGCCATAGAGTCAGTTCATGAATGTCCAGTACTGAAATTTAGAACACAATTTTTTGAAGATATAGTTAAATTTTCCAAAAAGAAGGGGAATAAAGCTAAACAAAAATTTTCTAAAGATCAAATAGAATGGAATAATACAGGTAATTCAGAATCTGTTCCTGGTACTTTGCAGAATTTTATTGAGGAAGATATTCAAGAAATTATAAGTAAGGAGGCATTGAAGAAATTAATAGCATTCAAAAAAGAGTGGAAAAAAAATATTAAAATAAGTAGAAAAAAAGGTAATTTATTTATTTTATTTCAATTATATCCACTTCTATTAAATATTTCAATTAAATACAATTTTTAAATTATATAAATTAATTTCAATACTAAATTATTAAATTTATTTTTAAATGCGTTGAAATTCTTAAAATTCTATTAAAGCTAGAGAGAAGGAGATTAAAAATAAAATAAAAAAATATCCCCATTGGTATCAAGACTTTTCGATTTCACAGGTATTTAAAAATAAGATAACAAATGTATAAAATTATTTTCTATATGATTAATTATTTTTATAATGGGGTAGATGAGTCACTTGATGAAATTAAAAAATGCCTTGTTTGAAGATTTTAAAGAAAAAGCAACATTTAGAACGCAAAATATTCTTATGAAAATTGGTATAGTTTCCAAATTTTTTAAAATTGTTCCAAATCAAATAAAATTCTTACTACAAAAAACTAACGTAAGACCTACAGAATTTTTACGAGAAATATATAAAATTATATCAGGGGTTGATTTTGAAACGGAAGGTCACAGTAAGTTTAGAATTTATTTTTTTTTTTAAATTTTTAAAATTTATAAATACACTTTAATTTTGTTAAATTTTCTACAATTTAGAGAATAACTACAATTTCAATGAAAAATTAACATTATCCGCAATTGCTTTTTTGAGTCTTCCAGAAGCTATAATAGAATTAAATGAAAGACTTCCTTCAGTCAAATTTCTTGAAATTCCACCAAAACGTAAATCATTATTATAATATTAATAAGATGATAAAAGATTCATTTTAAAATACACAGTTTTCATGAAAATTTGAATAAATATACAATTTTCAATACAGCAAAACCACCGAAAGTTGATTACCCTCAAAAAATGGATTGCCCTTATAAAGAAACTATCTTTATACCACCAAATTTGCGTTTATATCAAATAGAATTAAATGCATGGCGCAAAAAGTGTGAAATGATTCCAAAACCAAAATTAATTTTACCACCGAATGAAAAATATTCAATTTTTGCAAGTGCCAAAGAAGAAATATTTGGAACTAATGAAGAACAAAGGAACAAAGAAACTAAAAAAATAATAAAATATCGAGTAAGAAAAGAATCAATTAGATGTAAAAAGAAAAAAAATGTAAATCATTTTAAAAAAAGTAATCTTAAAAAAAGAAAAGCATACCAACAAATAATGCACAAAAAATTTTCGGTATCTAAAGAAAAACACTCAAATTATTTATTAACTGAATTAAACGAAAATGATGAAACAGCAGAAAACAAAGTTTCTGGTATTACAAAAAAAAACAATATTAGTTTTAATATTTAAAATCTTCTTTTTATATTAGAAAATAAAATTCGAAATTACAGTATTTGAGTCTAAAATTATTCCACATTTTTACAGGTACAAAAGTAATATCAAATAACAGTAATGAGAAATTATTTGCCAAAAATGATAGTCCCAAAAAAATTTATCCCCAAGGAAGACAGTATCTCTCGAAAAATTGGCAATTATGGTTACAAAATGTAGACGAAGAATTTCTAAAAGTTGAAGAAGAAGCTAATAAGCTGATTGAAAGTGTCGAAGCTACAATGAAACTCGTAAATTTTGGTTCTGCATGCGATAATTGTTGTAAATGCAAGCAAGACAAAAAAACTGATTTGCTTCATTTTACTTCATCTGATCATTTCACAAGTGGATTTACAATTAATAATGAAGAAGAAAGAGTAGAAGAAGAAATAGAAGAATTAGAAGAGGAAGAAGAAAAAGTAGAAATAGAAGAAAAAACAAGGGAAGATATATCCAAAACTTCTAAAGATAAAATTACAGAAAAGTTCATTTCAAATAGAAATGAAAGTGCTTCTCCTTCATCAAAAGAAATGCAAATTCTTTATGAAAAAAATTTCAACTTTACGCAGAGACAAACTTCATCATTTAAAAATATAAATAAACCCAAACACCCAGAAAAACAAAGGAATTTCGAAAAAATTTTACATAAATTTGATTTAAAAGAAAATAATAATAGAGTCGATTCTAAAGAAAACAAGAAAATAGATTTAAAAAATAATCAAATTAAAAATAAAAGCAGAAAAAGTAAAAATAAAACTAAAGTGAATCAGAATCTGAATCTATCGGCAGGAGTACATAAATCAAAGAGAAAAAGTAGATCTAATAAATTAAAATATGAGCAAATAAATAAATTAGATATTGAAAATTTTAAGAAGCTTCAAAAAAGTAAAAGCAATATTGCAATTGTTCCAGAAAAAAATGAAATTTCAAAAAAAGATAAATCTTTTAATTGTAAAATGGAATTAGATATAAAGCCAACGGCACCTGAAAAAACATTAATTTACCTTACAGATCCAATTCGTCCAATTGAATCAATAACAATAAAACCCGGCGGTAAACCATGTCATTGTCGTGAAGATAGTTCTACTCGAAAAAGTGAGGAATATATTCCTGAATATGAATTATATCAATCACCTTATGGTACCTGCGTTAAAAATAAAGCCAAAATAATAAATAATGAAATTTATCCGACAGAAAATAAAAATCAATTATTTGAGAGAAAAGAATTCAGTTCTAATAAATTGAACGATGCATTAAAAGATCAGTGTCTAATTGATTTTTATACTCAAGATGAAAATTCTAATTCATCATCTTGTATGAAAAATTCTAAATTTACCAATAAAAATTATCATAAAAAAAAGATCAGAAATTTAAAAGTTAAAAAACCAGTTTGTGAATGTAAATACGAAAGGAAGATTGTTATGAAAAATGAAGAGAACGAAAAATGGTTAAATCGTCAAAAAAGATTGAAATCTTATAAAAAAGTACCAATCACTCATATTGCTGGTATTTTACGACCCATGGAAATGGATAGAAAATTTATCATATCGGGTGTAAGGAATATTTCAAAAGAAAATGGAAATGATGAAATACAATATTGTATAAGTGGAGTGGCTGAAAATTATAAAATGGGATCTCTTCAATATCTTGTTAATGGAGTTTGTATGCACACACCAATTGTAACACCAAAACAAAGCAAAACAAGCATTTCTCATATTTCAAATTCAAATAACGAGAATCGGCCAGAAACATTACCAGAAAATTTCATTAAAAATATAAACAAAAAGCACAGACAAAAAATGGGTACTAAAAAGTATAAAAAAATAGCAAACAATGAAAAATTTAAAAATTTAGAGAAATATAAAAAATCAAATAGTAAAGAATACAGCAAGAAATTAGATGATTTTGCAAATGTCAGTAAGAAATATAAAATACAGCAGGAAAGAAATAAAATTGAAAATAAAGGAAAAAATGAAAATGAAATAAAAAAGAGACAAGATGTGATAAATAATTCAAAAACAGTTAATCATTTAATTACAAATAATGATGGCGAAACAATTTTAGATTTACATCAAAAACGAAATGAAATCCAACTAAATGTTTTTGATACACATCAAAATTTATTATCAAATACGGAAATTAAAACAGTTAAAAAACACATTGACAACGAATTAGACACAAAGCAATTAGTAACAGTGAGTTATTTTTTATTATGGAATTTTTACTTTTGTTAATTAATATGTGTCTTTGCTTTAATAATTACTGGGGATATATTCCTCGCTCGCTCGATTGAAGTTGTACTTTATGTTCTTTACGTATTGTAGTTTATTCATATGTATATTTATTTTATGTTTTAAATTATTATTTCATTACTATTTTATAGATCATTTTTATTTATGGATAAAATGACAATTGTTATTAAATAATAATTCATAAAAATGTGAATTATAATTATCGCTCCTAACGAACAAACACAATGCAGTTTGAAAAAATGAAATATTTGTTGTAAATTTTTTTTTTTTCTTAAATTAAGTAAACGCAATTCAGATTTAAAAATGCGATCAGAATCTAAATATTTTCTATAACTATTAAATATTTCAACAGTAGTAATAATTATAAATTATATTAATTTAATTTTTTTTAAATTAAATTTTTAAAAATTTTTACAATTAATGTTGTATTATTTAATGTACTAAAACAAATTTATCATGTTTGATGACTTAGATTCGCATTTTTACACAATTAATGCAAAAAACTTTAAAAAAATTTTTTTTTTCGAATACATATGTATGTTATGCATGTGAATTTAAAATTTGAAGAAAAACTGTAAATAATTTATTTAAGAAAACGTAAATTTTGTGGTGGTATCGGTCGTTCTTGAACTTAATATAATAAAAAGGATTTTATTATTTATTCTTCATTCTATTTTTGAAATATTATCAATGTATTAAATAATTTTTGCGTTTAAGATGTTTATGATTCATAAAAAAAATAGCTGAATTTTTGATGATACTGTATATTTTGTTTTATGAAAAATAATTTTTTTCACAGAATGAACTTAAAAAAATGGCCTATGAGGGATTTATATTCGCCAAGTTGCCTAGATGTTTTGATTTTCCTCAACTAAATTATTGGATAATGTATAGAAAAGGAGTATTTTTTTCGGATCAGGATAAAGGTACATGAAAAATAACATTATTAAAATTGTAATACTGAAATTTCTGCAATATCACAATTAATAAATACCTAATTTTTTTAATTAATATATTTATAAAATATTTTAAAGTATAATATATATAATTGATATTCTGGAATATTTCCTATATATATAGAAAAACTTCTAAAACAAAGTGTGCAAGCATGGACAAAATTAAAATTATTTAATTCATTATTAAAACCAATGTCTATTAATTTAAATAAAAAGGAAAAATCTGAATTAAATTTTGAAAATATTTTAAGCCTTAAACGCAAGGTATTTATATAGTATTATAAAGATTTAAAAAATTATATAGGTATATTAAACATATAACTTCAATAATACAATTTATATTAATTATTGCTGCAGATTGCTGAATTAAAGGAACTTTTTTACAAGCAAATACGCGAAGACAGAGTGAAAAGATCTGCAAATTTATGGAATAGCATGGAATTTGGAAAATTTCCCTGTTTATGGTTTAAAAAAACATTTTTTACTTATTTACCAGACAAGGAGATAAATGGACACATTTTGGAACCTTATCAAATATTTTAATTTTTTAAAATTTTAAATTGCAAATGTTTTTGCGGATTTTAAATCTACATGTTTTCAAATTTATTTTACAAGAAAAATTAAAATCATCGGCGGAGGGCTTTTTGAGAAAAACCATTTTTATTATTTTTACACAAAAGCCTACTTTGCGTATTTTTCTTTATTTTGACAAATCTATCAAATAATAAACCTATTAACGTCCAAATGCACGGAATTTTGAATCAAACTTCAATTCATGATATTTATATCTTCTTCTTCTTCTTCTTCTTAAATGACTTTAGGCCTAGCCGAGTGTCAGAACTATATACATGTGAGAGAAGAAAAAGTTTGTCATTTGTGTTCAAATTTCACATAGGTGCATGACTCGAAATGTGTCACGAAGAGTCCACAGAGCTGCGGGCACAGTGCACACTTCTATAGGTGGAAGTAATGGTCCGTTCACCCGTTGCAAATCTTGTCGAGATATTGTCGAACAGGAGAGAGAACAGGGACAAAAGTGCAAGTTTGCCAATATAAGGCGGCCCCAACGATGAGCATGCATCGGTCCCAAACAATCGAGGCATCTTTCCGAATCCTTGACGTTCTAGAATAAACGTCAGCGGATTACAAAATAGAGTCTCGGCAGACCAAATGCATAACCATGCGTTGCCGCTCGCCTAAAGCCTTCGCACCTGCATCAGACGAACTGACCATCGAAGCAAAGATAACCCCCAAGCTCTCTCACCACTTCCACATTCGGGTTCCAAATCAGGTCATCAATTGGTGCCGCTTTGGGTTCCAGGTCCGGAAATCTTCCGCGCAAGAAGTTCAAAAATCTCGGTCGCGCCTGCGCGTACAGGGCACAAGAAAACAAAATATGTGTTAAAGACCTTAAATCCGCTCCGCACCGGCAACCCGTGTCCACATCCCAGCGCATTCTCTGAAAGTGTTCGGCGGTACAAACATGACCCGTACGCAATCTGGTGATCTGATTGACCCAACTCCGCGGCAACGTAATATCGTCAAACCAGGGTCTGACATCACTAAAGCCAACCCGAGAAAAGTATCTATGACCCAAGAGGTCTCTATCAGAAAAAGGCCACTGATAAGACAGCCAGGCCAGTCTGTCCGGTTCGAAAACCAAGTAACGTATATCGGACACAGAATTCAAGATGTGCACTCTATTACCTTCTCTATTAACCACCTTACAAATGCGATCAACTCGCTCATTTCCTTTTATGCCAGAGTGCGAGGGAACCCATAGAAACCGTATACCAGTGGGGCAAGTTATTGGAAATACCATGGGGATAGTTTCTAGTATACGATAGACTAGATCAGGTCCCTTCTTAAAGAGTAAGCAATTAGAAATGCGTTTGATGGCTGACAGAGAGTCGGAGATGATAAGCGGATTTGGTAAAGAGTGCCTAATAGAATATTGTATTGCTCTGAGAATAGCATATAATTCAGCTGTGAGGATGGAAACGTTGGGCTGTAAAGGGATGCCCATAAAAAGGTTGTTCGATTCCACATAAAATGCCGAAGCTGCCAAGCCCCTGGAGGGATCATAAGTACCATCAGTGTAAATCAGCGAAGAGTTGGGATATGTATTTCCGATCAATTCACGAAAGGCCCCCTCGGGATTAGGGTGGACAGACGCCTCAAGACCCAACGTGGTATCACAATGAGGAAAAGATGTTAAAACACCCCAAGACCAATCAAAATATGACGGTCTACGCGTTCTGAAGCAATCCTTGATGACCGGATAGACTCTCAAGAAGGCATTTAAGAGCGAGAGTCTTGACACATTCAACTTGAAGTTGGACCTGGTGGAATAGCCCCACTGTAAGAGGAGCTTCGGAATCAGAGGATTATCCGACCAGCAGTAATTCCTAAGTATAAAGGCATTAGAAAGAAAGACTCTCCTGAACGAGAGTGGGGGTTCGCCAGACTCTGACAGAAGAACGATAACCGGAGTAGTTCTCATGCAACCTAATGCTGCTCTCAAAGCTGAATGCTGCACTCTGTCCAGGGCCTTAAGAGTAGTAGCGGCTGAGTCCGCAAAAAGGGGGGAGCCCCAATCCAAAATAGCCCTGATCAAGTTTCGATAAACCACAAGGGCGAGCGTGGGAGAAGTCCCCCACGTCACCCTCGAGACAATCCTCAGAATGGCCAAGGATTTAGTGGCTCTATCCGCCAACATCCTAATATGAGCCGACCAATTCAGCTTTTTGTCCAACATAATGCCCAAATGCTTTAAGGTGGAATAGCAAGGAATCACTGTGTCACCAACGCAAACACGGACGTCCTCGAATGTTGAACGCGATCGAGAGAAAATACAACAGGAGGTCTTAGCAGGGGCAACTTCTAGGCCAATCGAAAGCAGCCAGGCTGTCACCACCCTCAGGGCGTCCGTAACAACCGCAGATATGTTCTCCGAGTTCCCAAAACTAATGTAAAGCAAAAGGTCATCAGCGTACATAACGTATTTCATGTTAACCGGAAGGTACCTCTCCAACTTGCGCAAATATATGTTAAATAGAAGAGGGGAAAGAACACCTCCCTGTGGTACCCCAATGCCACAAGTTCTTGGATTAGCGCCGTCCGCCGAGAAAGAGATCAACCTCTTGGACGTTATAAATGTAATAAAATTTATGATGTTCGGTTGAATTCCCAAATCCAACAGATCTGCATGCAGGACAGCCGGTTTTACATTGTTAAAAGCTCCCTTAATATCAATAGCAATAGCTAACGTATTAAGCGAGCGAGCAAAACCATTGGTAACATCCGTAACAAAAGCAGCTACACAATCAATGGCAGACCTGTTCTTACGGAAACCATATTGGTGCATAGGGATTATTCTCCTCCTTTCTATCTCATGCTCAAGTCTAAACTGTATCAAGCGCTCAAAAATTTTACAAAAAACCGAAGTAAGAGCAATGGGCCTAAAGCCCTTGCCCCCAGGTTTAGGAATAAAGCTAACTTGTGTTCTCTGCCAAGATTCCGGAAACGACGAGTACAAAAATATACGATTAAACAATATCAGCAAAAACTCCAGCGCCACTGGACCTGGGCCTTTAATAATTTCGCCAGTGATACCGTCAAGGCCGGGGGCAGTCCCAGACTTACAATGCTCTAGAGCAGCACAAAATTCCTGTTTCGAGAACAGAGGGAAGAGTTCAGTGTCAAAGGTCAACGGAGTTTCCAAAAAAGGAATCTCCACCGGTGGAATATCTTCTCGGATAAGCTCCTCCCTGAGCCTAGCCATTTGAGGAGTGGAACTATCCGAGGAGATATCAGTATTCAGTCGAGCAGAGCGTGATGAGAGCGCTCTGATTGTACGCCAAAGCGTTGATATTCCCGTTGTCGGAGAGATGCCCTCACAAAATTTTCTAAAACCCAGCATCTTCTGCTTTCTGAGAAAGTGTATAATTTCGCTGTTCATTCTTTTAAATTCCGCTCGATTAGCTGCAGTTTGATTACTATGGTACCAGGCATAGTTCGCCCGTCTTCTTTTTAACGCGTCCTCGCATTCCTCATTCCACCAGAGTGGTTTGGAGAATGGCTTTAAAGAATCCTTGCAAGGAATGAAGGCGCCACTGTCCCGCAAATGAGTTCCGATGGAATCTAAAAATGAATTGTAGATGTCAGAAGGGAGTGTGCCACCACAAAGCTGCGTCGTCAACTCAAGAACTGATTGTTCCAGAAGGTTATGGAAACTGGACCAGTCAAGATGTTTAAGACAGAATCTGTTATTGGTCGAGGACGCGCGACTCGGAACGATGTCAGCCAGAAGCAGGACAGGGAGATGATCGGAAGAGAAAGTATCTTGAATTACCGTGGTGACTGAAGCTTGCAACACAGCAGGCGAGCAGAAGATGAGATCTAGATTACTTCCCAGAACATTTGCATCCTGAAATCTAGTAGGAGAAGAATCATTCGAAGCAAAAAGATCAGACTGGAGAGAAAAGGTGAGTAGGGAAGACCCTCTCACGTTAGAAGAAACATCACCCCAACAAGTGTGGTGAGAATTAAAATCACCACAGAAGATGTGATTGTTTGCCCTTGGGAGACGCTCAAATATATCAGACCACTGTTCAGCTGTAACATCTCCTCCAGGAGGTGCATAAAGACATGTAATTTGTGTCTTACCAAAAAGGGAACCAATCGAGACTGAAGCAACGTCTATCTGCAGGTTACGAGTTGAATAACAAAAAGCGCAAGAGATCTGAAACGCTATCTCTCTACGTATAAGAATGAGCACACCGCCACCCCTACCAGCGGGTCTGTCCTGTCGTACACTAATATAATTGGGGACCTCAAAGACATTGGAACTTGAGAGCCAAGACTCCGTGACACAAAGAATGTCCGGGTTATGTTTCCACAAAATCAAGTCCACCTCGGTTCTTTTGGGAATGATGCTGCGAGCATTCCACAAAATCAAAACTAGCGATTTATGAACTGTACTAGATCTTTGCATAATTGGAATTAACGGGAAACCCCGGAAGAAAGAAAAACTCCAAACAAATAGAGACAACGAGGCCACAATACAGATCCAAATACGTGGACAGCACTCAGAAATTATGTGAGCTAGACGTAAAACCAACCGAATAAACCACACGTACAGATAAAACGTAAAATAAATAGTTGACAGCTGTTCTCTGTAGTACAAATAGGTTAAAACAACAGATTAAAATTCACTAGATAAAATATTTAAAACAAAAAGACTAAAAAGAGATTAAAATATATGTTACCAAGTAACTAGTTTGTTTATGAATGTAAAACACAATATAAGTTAATAAATAAATAATAGGAGATAAATGGGAGACGTATAACAGAAAATAAAACTAAGTAGAAAATTAGCCCTCATTTAGAGTCTCCACAGGGTGGCCAGAACCACCAAGCGGTTGAAGCGTATCAATATCGGTACGAGTATCCATTGGACCAGAAGAGGATTGCGAAGTCTGAGAAGTATTGCTTTGGTCCTCCACAAGCCCCACCGTGGGCTGCCAGACCACCTCATAACCCGGCTTAGCAATTCCCTCACTCAACAAGAGCGCCTCCGCCTTGTCATAACCTACATTGAGCTCACGCCTGCGCTTCATTATTAAATATTCATATTTATAATAAGGACACTCCCTTAATGAGGACATGTGATTATCACCACAGTTGGCACAGTGTGCCGTGCGATTCGGGTTAGGACAATCATCCCTAGCGTGGTTCTCTGCACAGTATTCGCATCTAGAGAAAGTCGAGCGACACTGAGTACGAAAATGCCTAAATCTCTGACACTTATAGCATCGCTTCGGAGGAGTGACTATCAGAGTTAAATTGAAGAGGGCTCGAGAGATAAAAATTGAATCCGGGATCGATACTCCTGAAAAGATCAATTCGATCTGCCCCGACAGATCTCCATCCTGGGTTGTGCGTCTACGAATGGAAATTACCTCCCGAATTACTTCACTCTCCATTTTATTACAAATCTCCAGAGGGGACAATTCTAGATCAACATCATGTGCCAGCGCTTTTCTACTAACCAAGGACCTGGGGATATACAATTTGTATCCGCGATCGTTGTCCTTCATGGACTCGAGCAGTTGGTTGGCAAGCATCCAGGTGGAGGAGGTCACACGCAGTTGATTAACTCCGTTAGCCACGACCACACGATCTGGGTCGCTGACTCGTGCTTCGAAATAGTCAGCGATAGCGATCCTATTATATTTACCGATCTTCTGGTTTGGTGTGGTCGATTCTACTAGGACTGTAAAAGGAGGAGGGGCATCGGGCTGAAATCTAGCATCCTCCGTGTATGCTGGGTTAATCCACTCAAGATCATAGGGGTACAGTTTTTCCTGTTCAGGAGAAACCTGTAAGTCAGCCTCCAGTGTAGCCCGGGTTTCATCCCGCGCCTCTGTTCCAGAGACAGGTTCACAAGGGGGGTAAATCTGTAGAGGTGGATCAGTGACAGATGTTAACATGGTTTGAGGGACATCAAGTGGGGAGGAAGGTTCAGATTCCATGGGGACATGATGTGGTTGTTTAAGCGATGTTAAGTTTGACCCGTTTTCAGGAGGCGAAGGATTCACCCAGTCTCGACGATAACCAGCGGGCAAAGAAGACACAGGAACAAAGGGCACCGTAGACCCCGAAGCCAGACCATACCCAGGACCAGATGTCAACCCTGGCCTGACGATAGAGGGATCCATACAAACAGAAAGTTTACCACGACCAGGAAATCGACTTCTAGTATTCATTGCAGCGCGCTGGAGACCGGGGGCCGCCGGAGCGGTTAGCTTCCTAGGTGTTGTTGGAGCCATATCTTGACTTAAAAAGGATTTATTAAGCCCGAACCCAGAAGAACAAGGCGACACCAAATGAGGGCCCAAATTCTCACTCAATATTAAAAAGTAACACAGAAATAAAGATCATCTACTGAGTGAGAACTTATAAGCTAAAAACAGAATAAACAAAAATCAAGCCAATAATTGACACAAAAATAAATTAAATTAGAGTATAAATAAATATGTCAAAAGACCGAAAATAAATAAAATAAACAGATATAAACAAAATAAAACAAATAGCAATAAAGCAAATAAATAAAATAAACAGAAATAAACAAAATAAAACAAGTAGCAATAAAGCAAATAAATATATACAAATAAGCAGGTTATGTAATTAAAATTAAAACGACTGAATACACATTGAAATATAAGGTCTTGTATGTGTAGTTGTAAACAAATTATATAAAAAAAGGCTTTAATCCCTTTGGGCGGAATGTGAAAGTGGTAATGTAAAATATAAAAAATTAAAAAATAATTGGCTGCAATTTGAAATGTATGTGTGGTGTGACATAAACAAGGTATCAAGAATTTAAATAATAACAAAAAAGAGAAAAAAAAAAAAAAGTAATAAAAGTTAAAGCTGTGAGTGAGCCTGGAGTAATAATAATTAAAATTAATCAAAAATTAGCGAAGAAGTCAAGTAAATTCGAAATATATAAAATAAAATGAAAATCACTATAACTAAAAACTTGAAAACTTCACCAACTACAAATTTAAAAATATATCGAAATTTTATAATACGTAAAATTAAAATCACTTAATCGGGAAAATAAGTCTGACACAGGCTGACGCTCATAATATTGACAGACTGTTTACCCAAAGGGACGTGTAGGATTTGTAAAGGATGACTGACCTTGAGTAACGAAGGACGACAATACCCAATTATAAAACCTCAATAGCCTTATCAACTTCAGATATTAATTAAAATCGGTGCACAAAATGAAAAACTCCAGCCACTTGCAGTTTCCAATTTAAATTCTGGCGCCTCCAGCAGAATGCAGCAACACGTGCAAAACACCGGCCGGATAAAACAAACAGCTGATTGTCGAAAATGCCGCCAACAGCTCGCTCCGAAATTATAAATATTTATGGTTCGTTTATTTAGAGTACTCAATAAAATAAATGGACGAACATCTGAACATATTCAGCACATTTAACAATAAATAAATAACCAGACACAGAGTTTAAGAGCAAATTTAATTTGTAACACAAAAATTTTGGACCAAACAAAAAGTGAGGAAACCTCACATTTAAAAACAAACAGGACTATACTAGAAGACGGTCATAACCAGACTCTCCTCGACAAGACTAAATATATTACGTAGGGGAGAGTCAGCGCATAGTTGGGCCACTACAGTTTATTTCGTTTTATTACACTGGTTACATAGTAAAGTGAAATTGCAATAAATATTTAATTTTTCAATAAAACGTAATAAATGCTAAAATCATAACCCAAAACTTTTCATAGTGTCAGAAAAATGTATTAAATAACAGAAGGAATGAGCAAACAACAAAATAAAATGACTAAAATTGTCAATTACAATGTAATTTAAAAATTTGAAACGTTACTTAGGATTATTGTGTCATTATTATTGTTTATACAACGCGTTTACCTATGGTTACGGCGCCGGTTGGTTTTCATTTTCCCCACTCGCCATTTGTTGTTATAATTCTTGTCAACTACCGCACCCTGCTCTAGTGAAAATTTAGTAACTTCTATTTAACAATAAATTATTGTTAAATAGAAGTTACTAAATTTTCACTAGAGCAGGGTGCGGTAGTTGACAAGAATTATAACAACAAATGGCGAGTGGCAGTGATGGGTTGTGACGCGTCACACGAAGTTTTGTACGTATAATACGTTTTCGACGTAATATACGTATAAAATGTATAAAACCATGTAGAAAACCACTGACATTTTGACATCTATATATGATCCTCTGATTTTTGCCATAACGAATTTTTCTTATCATTCTATTTAAATTAAAGTCTTAAAATAAAATAGAAATGGTCAGAAAAAGTAAAAGAAAATCTTTTAAAGAGGGTTTGCCCTGGGAAAGTGTAATGAATGATGTATTTTAAAGAAGAATTTAAAATTGCCGCTCTTAAATCACGTGATCAAATGTAATATACATCGTGTAGAAAACTTGGCACGTAATATACGTAGTATTATACACGTAGAAAACCACGTATTATACGTACCCATCACTGACAATAAAGTTACTAAATTTTCACTAGAGCAGACTGCGGTAGTTAACGAGAATTATGATAAATGGCGAGTGGGGACAATGGAAACCAATCGTAAAACATAACATGCAGTGATGGATACATATAATACATGACGTATAATACGTGGTTTTCTACGTGTATAATACTACGTATATTACGTGCCAAGTTTTCTACACGATGTATATTACATTTGATCACGTGATTTAAGAGCGGCAAGTTTAAATTCTTCATTAAAATACATCATTCATTACATTTTCTTTTACTTTTTCTGGCCATTTCTATTTTATTTTAAGACTTTAATTTAAATAGAATGATAAGAAAGATTCGTTATGGCAAAAATCAGAGGATCATATATAGATGTCAAAATGTCAGTGGTTTTCTACATGGTTTTATACATTTTATACGTATATTACGTCGAAAACGTATTATACGTACAAAACTTCGTGTGACGCGTCACAACCCATCACTGAATAACATGTTTTTCATTGATAGACCTTTTCATGCTGAACATTCTGTCCTCTTCCAACTCATTCGTCATTGTATGCGCTAGATAAGGACAGCATGAGAAGGTCTATTGCACATCAGAAAACTGTCACATTTCAGAGGTTCTATATATCAAATTCATATGAACATGACTTTAAATCCGAAGTTAAAGGCATGATAACAAGACTATAGTCTTGCAAGGAAGTTTCCATATTAATTATTCTTATTCTGAGAATTTTCACCAAAATTTCTGACAGATTTTGAAGAGGGATTGTAAAATACCGGGTGCTGTACTACCTTTTCTCATTGAAAAAAGTGCTTTGCTACGTGTCAACGATTTCCAATCTCAATAAATAACATTCAGTATTTAATCATATTTAATCCAATACTGATAACTTTGTTTGCAATATAATTAACAATTATTGACTAAAATATATAAGAGCTAATAACAATCAAGTAAGGTAATTTAATTTTTATAGCAATTTTGCAAAGAAATTTATAAAAAAAAATGCTTATAAAAAAATTTTTATACTATATATATGTTTTATAATACATAGATTCTTTAACAATATATGAAATAAAATTCAGAAATATATTTTTATTAAAAACAGTGTAAAATTAGATTATTTAATGTATAATTTTAACATAATTATTTAGATGTTTTTAAGATTATATTTTCTTTTTACTTTTAGCAATGCGTCAAATGAAAGGGAAAACGAAAGAAACCAATAAACAAAAAAAGGAACGTAAGAAAGAATTTTTAGAAAACAAACAACGTGTTTTCACTCTTGTCTTACCAACAATAGCAGCTATTTTTTCATTAATAGCTGCTTATGTTTATTTTAAAACCCGTCCAAAAGCCGTCGATTTTTAATTAATTATTATTATTTTCTTTATAATGTATTTATTGGAAATGCTCATATTTTATAGTAGCTGTTTTACAAATCGTATGTATATTTTTATTACTCGTTTTAATTCAAAACATATACAAACATATAATGCTTTTATTTGATTTTTGTTTATATATAATTTCTTAATGCATTTCATTTTTTTTTCTGTAAAAAAAGAAAGAATAGTAGAAACCATATGTTTATGTTTAATTGAAAATTATTATTAAAGGTAGAATTGAGTATTATATTCCTCTTGATATAAGAGACAAAATACAATATAGTATATATAGCTTGACTAGCTTATAAGAATATGAAAATATATTTGTTACTCAAAGAGAAAATGTTTATATATTTTTCGATTTTCAATGCATTTTATAAAAGAGAAATAATTATGTAAATCATATAATTAGGTATGCATATATGTATTGTAAGTATATTAATATTGTGAATTGTGTATATGGGGTCCAAAAGTAATAAAATATATTTATGTTTATTTATCTCTGTTTTTATTTATAAAAACCCTAATAAAATCAAATTTGTATTAAAATTTAGAAAATCGATTACATAGTTTTTATATTGAATTCCTTTTTAAAAGTAATAAAGTAAATAATTTTTCAAGAAAAAAAAAAGATAAATATTTTGTTGAAATAATTCTAGAAAAAAAAAGAGTTGAAAATTATGTATTTTTTCTAATCTTATAATTCTTATTTGTAAATATATACAAATACACCAATCAGAGACGACCACGCGTGGAATTGTTATGTTATACGTGTAGAACTATCGTACACTTGTCAGTCTTTAAAAATGGCCGCGAGAAGAAGGAAGAGCGATTTAATTTTTTCACTTTTCATATTAATTTTATCATTTATAAGTATTATTCAAGGTAAAAATTTAATATTTATTTATACTTTATTTATTAAATATTCAAAAATTTACATTCATTTATTTAATTTATCGTGTTATTTTAAAATAAATCACAATTTAATTAACTAAACTAATGTTACTTACAAAATGATTTATAACATTAAAATTACTATTACTGTTTAAACTGATTTAAATTTCAAGCTTATTTTTGATATCGAAATATATATTCTTTGTTTTTTAAATTAATTTTTATTGATAAATTAAGAATAATGTTTCTGAGACATGTTAACCTCACTTTTTTTTTCTTTATTGTTATATATTTTAATTAAAATTGAATAATTTAAACAATTTCTTTATAAATCATAATAGTAAAATTATTTTAAATTTTCCTTAATATTGTAGATTGCTTTTAAAAAATTGTAAACATTTCAAATTTACATTATTTGTATTTCAGGAAAGAGTTCAAAATATGTGACATGTGGTTCGATACTAAAATTAATGAATATTGATTATAAAGTGCGATTACATTCTCACGATATAAAATACGGAACTGGAAGTGGACAACAATCTGTGACAGGTACAGAATCTAAGGACGATGGAAATTCACATTGGTTAATAAAAGGGGAAACTAAAAAACAATGTATACGAGGGTAATTATAAACTTTGTTTTATATATGTTTTTTAAAAATTATTTTTATAATCTTTTTAAATTTGAAAATTCAAATTCAATAAATTAATATTGAGGGTATTTACAGAAAGCCAATAAAATGTGGAGAAATAATTCGTTTTGAGCATACAATAACGAAAAAAAATCTTCACTCTCATTATGTTCAATCGCCTCTTAGTGGAAAACAAGAAGTCTCAGCTTATGGAGACATCAAAGGAGACGGTGATAGTGGCGATCATTGGATGGTGATTTGCGATAATGATTTTTGGCAACGAGACAGTCCAATAACATTACAACACGTGGATACTCAAGCGTAAGAATTTTTAAACTAAAATTCTCTTTTTTCTTCGATTTTATCAATTCTAATTTCTTGGTATTAGACCAAATCTTTTATTAATTAATAAATTTAATTTTTAAAGCTATTTATCAGTAACCGGAAGAACATATGGTTCTCCAATTGTTGGACAAACCGAAGTAGTTGGAGAACATTCGCAAAAACATGTTGAATGGCAAGCTATGGAAGGTCTTTTCGTTCATACTACTGATTTTAAATCTCATCACTATGAACACACGGAGCTTTAATTTTAATTAAAGTTCTTCAAGTTTTAGATAATTAATTACAATAATTAAAAGGGAATTGACACTTATAATAATTAAATGTGTGCGCTAATCTCCCTTATAATTTGCTGATAAAATATCAATTTGAATGAAGAAAATACGAGTGCAAATGTTTTTTGTAATTGTTAAATATCACTGTTGCTTACCAAACATGAATGTTTATAAAAAAAAAAATCAATAATATTACGTATTAAATACTTCTAAGATTATATACATGAAAGATTTTTAATTCTCATGATAATTCATTATGTACATTAGACTGATAAATTACAAAAATATTATACATTCATATGATAGATAATTATATGAAATGATACAAATAATGATAATTATAAATAAAATAAGTAAACTGATGTTCAATTAAATATCTCTTTAAAGACTCGACTAGATCTATTTTTAAGCGAAGATTGTAAATATTCTAATTTCAAATATTTATTAAACTTTGACAAGTCCTCATAGAGAATTTATTTGAAGATATATATATTTTATTCCCTAATTTATTAGGCATATATTAAAATTTCTTATTTTATTTTACAAAATTACACTTCCTTAAGATAACAATTATTTTGATATTTAAAATTTACTAAACTATCGAAAGGAAATAAAATATTTACAAGTCCATTGGGTCCAAATATTTCTCTAAAACTTTCTTCTTTCTTATAATTGAAACTATAAATTTGTTTACCTGTTCGACATGCATAAAATTTCCAACTACCATAACAAAGTCCAATGAAAAATGTTGCAACTAATGCATCAAAAAGTGTAACCAAAAGTAAACAGGATTCTTCATCAGAAAATAAATAACGAACTAATGCAATGGGAAAACAAAAACTTAACAATACATTGAAAATATTTGATTCTGGCCTAATAAAATGATTTAAATGTGCATATAAATAAGGACCAATTACAGATATTGAATAAAGACATGAAAGTGATGAATAAAAGCATAATAAAATAAAATTACCCATATTTTGACGTAAAACACAAGTTCCCATAAAAAAACAATGATGATCACGAAAATGATAACATTTTTTACATAATGAACAATGTATTGCCATTCTACGTGTATAATTTTCACATTTTTCACAATACCAAAATTTTCTCTCTCTTTCTGATGATATAAATGAATTAGCTTTTTGATAATCAATATTTACAATTGTACTATGATTATTAAGATTTTCTGTTTTTAATGTTGTGACATTTTTTGAAATTTTCCAAGCATTATACCAATTTAATTGCAATTGAATACAAATAAATAGATAAATAAACGAGATCCCATCATCAATGTACATTGTGACAAAGTTTGATATAATACTATAAATAAATGCAAATAGTGGACAAATCTTTAAAACAATAAAATAAAATCTCTTCATTTTTTTTTTTTTTTAATTGAAAATTTTCCAAGTCGAGTAAAATGTTCCCTAGTTATTTAACTGCTATTTTTTTATCTCGTTTAAATATATCTGTAAAAATAAAAAAAAAAAATAAAAATACACTTTTGTTCATTTTCTGACGATAGATTATTATATTTACAGGCCTTGGATTATACGACTTTTTCTGACTTTTTTTCGACTTATTTTAATAAAATGCGACTTTTTCGACATTTTTTTAACATTTTTGTACTAAACAAAAATCAACTTTTTTTTAGTATACAATTTTTAAAATCTTTTTCTTTATTTCAATTATTTAACAAATTTTTAACTAAAATTCTTCACTAAATTAATTATTTTTAATCATTTTAATAAAATTCAATTATCTGAAAGCATTTTTTAATTAAAACATTTTAAAGTTCAATTTTTTTCTGTTAAATTTTTAATAAATTCTTCAGCAACAGAAATCACCAAAAAAAAATTCTAATTTAAAATCACTTGAATTCAATTATTTACAAAAAATTTCAATTTAAAACCTTCTAAAAATTTAATTAATTCTAAAATTTTCCATCTAAAACTTTCTGAAATTGAATAATTTCAACTATAACACTTTCGAAATATAATTATTTTAAATGATTTTTATAATATTCTTCAAAAATTCAATTGTGTGAAAGCATTTTTTAATTGAAAAATTTTTAAATTCAATTTTTGTCTACAATTTCTAATTAATTCTTCATCAACAAAAATCACCAAAAATTTCAATTAAAAATCACTTGAACTTCAATTAATTTTAAAAATCTAAATTACAGATCTCTGAAAATTCAATATTATCAAATTCAAATAGGTATTATCTAAAACTATTTGATAAATTATTTTCAATTCTGTAAAATTTAATCAAATTTTTTGAAATTTAATTATTTCTAAAAATTTCAAACTATATAACTCTTCCAAAGTTCAATTATTTTTAATAATTTTAATATTTCTTTAAAAATTCAATTATTTAAAAAAGTTTCAAATAAAAACTCTAAATTTGAATTTTCAGAATTTTTTTTTTAGAAATTCGTCCTACTTAATTAAAATTACGGAATTAATAAAATTGATTTAATATCTAATAACATTAGTTATTTAAAGTAAAATACTTATTAACTAATTAAATTTAATTAAAATAAAAAAATTGACTTTTTTTGCGTCTTAAAGTCGATCCGAGGCCTGTATTTAATTAATATTTTTAAATAGTTATTGATAATTTGGAATTTTATTATCTTGTAAAAAAATTCATTAAAAAATAGTGAAATATGAAAAAATAATTAATTTTTTTTTCTTAATTAATAAAAATTTAAAAATGCTTACCACTGTTTCTTATCAAGTATAAAATATAATTTTTTGACAATTCATTGATTTATATTTCTTAACCTATAAAATGAGAAAATCGCTTGATATGTAATTATTGATATGTACATATACAATATATACTTACAAATATATCATTTGACTGGGAAAATAGTTTTAAACAATAGTATAATAATAAAATCCATTAACAAACATTTTAGTATAATATAATAAACATTTAAATAACATTTCCTGTTTTTTATCTCATGGTTTGTTTATTGTCGATATATCTCGGTTTCTCTCTCTCTCTCTCTCACTAAAATTACACTATTTTTTAAATTTCGCGGTTTAAAAGTGTCATCTTGAAACGTAAATTACGTAATCTCAAAAATATGGAGTTTCTGAACCCTGTTGTCATGTGTTAGACGTAGTGGTATTCGAGTGACGTTTCACGACGTGTACTTTTGTAAATCATGATTTTTTAGTAGTTTTTTAAAAAATTTTGAGAGAAAACTTTTCGAAAAATCATAAAACAGTGTAAAAAAAAGTGTTTCTTTTTTCAATTTAAGCAACATGTGGGCGGATACTATTTTAATTGTATTTATTAGTGTATGCACAGCCCTTTTGGGTGAAGGTAAATTCTATTATTTTTTTTTTAATTCTATCTTTTTATTTTCAATAATTTACAACAAAATATTTTTTTTAGGATTAACATGGTTAATGGTGTACAGAACAGAAAAGTATCAAAAATTAAAACAGGAAGTCGAAAAACAGAGTAAAAAATGTATGTAATTTTTATATTTATACTTTATTAGAACTTATAAATTTTTCTAAAATCAATAATATATTAGTTCTTTTTTTAAAAAATGGAGCCTTTTTTTGTACTTCTCAAAATATTATAAAATTTGTTACTATTTTTATAGCAATGTAGAAAAATTCAAAATTTAATTTGAATTTCGAAAAAAAATAAATTTATTTATAATAATTTTGTGTTAGTGAATTAATTATGTTTTTGTTATTATTTAAAGTGGAAAAGAGAAAAGAAGTACATGGCGATACATTGGATAAACAGCAGAAGAAAAAAATTGAACGTGAGGAAGAGAGATTAAAAAATAATAACAGAGATTTGTCACTTGTAAAAATGAAATCAATGTTTGCTATTGGATTCGCATTTACTGCACTTTTAAGTATGTTTAATAGCATTTTTGATGGACGAATTGTTGCAAGGTTACCTTTTGTTCCAATAAGTTGGATACAGGGACTTTCCCACAGAAATCTGCCAGGGAATGATTACACTGAATGCTCTTTTATATTCTTATACATTCTTTGTACAATGAGCATAAGACAGGTAAAATACTTTATTTAATTAATTAAAATTTTTGTTTGGCAATTGTTTTTTTTTTTTTTTTAATTTTATTGAAAATTCACATTTTATACTTGCAGAATATTCAGAAAATGTTGGGTTTCGCACCTTCACGAACAGCAAGTAAACTTAGCGGTGGAATCTTTGGACCACCGCCACAGCAATTTAAATAAGTTTCATATTTTTTTTTCTATTCAAGTCATTTGCTCATGTATCTTAAAAATTATTTAATTAGAGTCAATTTGTAAATATATTTCCACGAAGCCTCAAGACTGTTAATTATTGTAAAAAAAATAAGGCATTTAATGTTCACATTTCTTCTAACAAGATATAAAGTTCAAATAATTAACATAATTCTTAATTTTGTGTCTAATTCTCCTAAGACTATTTTTCTGTGTTTCATTCACTTTTATAAAATGATTTAAATAAATCAATTGTATTAATAATTTATAATTAAATTACATTTATTATTTACATTGGAAAAAAGCCATTTACTTAAGTAAACAAAAAAAATCTAATTTTTCCTTTTTTAAAAAAAAAAAAAAAAAAAAAAATTGTCCTATCACTGTCAAAAATTTTAATTTCAAACGAAATTAATTTACAATATTCTATTATTTTTTCAATTTCTCATAAAATAAATCTAGATGAGTACTGATTTCATTGAAATTAATCTATTGCGTTGAAATTATATAGGCAAATTAATTTTATACAACATTCCTCTCTCTCATTGGTTCTAATGTAATGAATCTTTCAAAAGATAATCTAGTTAAATCAATTGTTGAATATTCTGAATCAATAATTAATTCTGCAATTGCACGACCAACAGCTGGTGATTTTTGAATTCCATGGCCACTGAATCCTGTTGCAAAATATATATTCGGATAATAGGGATGAAGACCAATAACTCCATTTTGGTCGAAATGATTGTATTCATAAAATCCAGCCCACGATGATTTTACCTGAAAATAAAATTTTCTTTTAAGTATTACAAATTTAAATCTTCATTTTAAAATTAAAAATTATAATATTTACCGACCTTCAAATTTTCGAATCCTTTTACTCGTTTGGCAAGAATAGGCCATACATGATCATTAAAAAATTCATGATCAACTTCAAGATTATCAACGTTTGGTTCCTCGTGATTTTCATTTGGACATCGTCCACAAATATAATTTCCACCTAAACCTTCTCTCCTAAAAAAGAAATACGTAAATTTTTTTTTTTTTTATTATTTTCTAAAGATTTAATACCTGAAATATGTTCCAGATGGATCAATTGTCATCGGAAGATTTATCCCAGGACCCTCGGGACTATGAAAACAGTAGACAAATCTTTTTCTATAAAAAAAAAAAGAAAATTATATTATTAAAAATTTGACGATTTTAAAATCAATGAAATTACCTTGGCTCCACTGGTAAAGGAACAGATAAAACACCTGGACCACTTCCAATTCTTGCCATTTTAGCAATTTCTCCACTATTTGGTCCAGCTGCAATTACACATTGAGAATATTGAATTTTTCTCTGTTTACCGTCAGAAGTTTGAATCTAAAAAAAATGAATAATAATAATAATAGAAAAATGAAATAAGGAAAAAAGGAAAATTTAATATTAAAGAAGAATGTCACTTACAATTACATCTTGCGCCAATTGACCAGTAATTTCTTTTGAATCGGCATAAATTGTATTTGTTAATTTATTAAACAAAAAACCAATAACTTCGGCTTCAACATAATAGATCCCTTGATTGAGACATTTTCTTTGGAATGCATACAAAAAACTCCATGGATCGAACCATCCTTCTTTTTCAACTCCAAGACAACCAAGTGCAACATCATCAATATTCATCCACGGGAATCTCTCCTTTAATTTTTCCGGTTTAAGGAGAATATTTTTTGCACCCAATTCACGTTGTAATTTTGCATTCTCTATCATATCTTCAGCACCTTTTTCCGAAGCTAAAAATAAATAACCATATGGACGATATTGTATATCAACTGGTGGCTGGCCAACAACACTCAAATGATCATTTATATTGCGAATAAATTCAGCACCAAATAGAGACATTTCAATATTTTCCTCAAGAGAAAATTGCTGTCGAATTCCTCCCAATGAAAGGACAGTCGATGCCTTTGAATACTGCAATTGAAAAAAAAAGAATAATTTTTAATTATATTCAATTGCTTATATTGATTAATTTTTTAAATTCTGTACCGTTAAATCCTTTTCGACTATAACAATTTTGAGACCTTCTCCAGCTTTTTTTTTCAAAAAATGTGCTATAGACGAGCCCATAGCAGCTCCTCCAATTATCAAAACATCGCATTCTTCCGGTAAATCATGATAATCTTCGTTCTTTGTCCAAATCATTTTTCTTCCATGAAAACGAGAACGTTTTATATCGGTGTTAAACCATCGATTTTTCACATTCGTTAAATCTCTTTTTATAAGTCTAAATGTTTTATCAAACGGATGCTCAGGTTCATCTAATTTAATTTCAATTGGCGCTTTTAATGGTTCAATTTGTGAATCGCCTCTTCTCTTTGAAGTCTAAATATAAAGTTCTATTACATTAATTTTAAATTACTTTATAAAATAATTAATGAAAAAATGTAAATTACAAAATTTAAATTAAAAAATATTATTACAGTCAGATTAAAATTACAATATTATTGTAAAGTAAAAAAAAAAAAAATTTCAATTTTTTATTTCTTATCTATTTTTAAAAGAATTAATTGCATTTATTAAAGTGAATCTTTTCACTATCTTTAACACAATTGGGAAAATTAATAAATCTTCCCATTGCACCTTATCATTTGCAAGGTTGTAATTTATCAAGATAATAAAGAAAAGCAAATTGTCTTCTGGAAAATTTGATTCAATTTTTTATTACAATTATAATTATTATCACTAGACACTATTAATTCATTTAAAAAAAAAAAAATTTGATTTTTTAATTTAAAAAAAAAATTTCTTTTTTATACAATAATTGTATTAGTGAAATTTGCGAAAAAGATTTATTAACAATAAAATAATTAAAAATCATAAAAATAATTAAATTTTCCTCTAAAAAAAAAAACTAACAATTTTTTGGTTAGAAATAAAAAAAAAACGAACCTTTGATGAATAAAATGCATTTGACAGTCTCAAGGGAACAGAATCTTGTATTCTATTTATAAAAGTCGTACTTTTCACAAATCTTGGAATCATTGTTAGCCTTAGTACTCCAAGAATTGTTTTCAAATGAACAACAATCACATATCAAAAAAAAATAATGAGTTATATATACGTATGGAGGTGGGAGATTCACTAATCACGTGGTTTGACACAACATAGAAACCTAACCTAACTTCACGCATGTGTCTTTTTGTGACCAAAAAAAAAAACAAATAACGTTGATTGGTAAAAGATTCTATTATTGCCAACATAATGACAATTAACCACAACTAACAAATGTAATTTTCCAATACTATTAAAATTAATTTCTTCTATATTTTTCACAAAAAAAGAGTAAACAACACTTTATAAAATCTTGTGAAAGTTACAAATTAAATAAAAGAAAATAGAAAGCGCTCATATTTATTTTTTTTTTCTAATTGTTGCAAGAGTGAAAAAGTTTTGTTGTTTATTGGCGGGATATTTAAATATTTTATGACATGACAGTAAATTCTTTTCGTGTATTGGAAAAACACAATTCGCTTAGTGCAAAAACATCTGATCTATGATATGTATGAAGTTTAATTAAATTAAAATAATTAAAACTCAAAAGTTACTAATTATGTGATCATGACGTTTTTAAATATCTCACAAATTGTGACGTTTGCATATACAATATATATGTATATACATATATATAATGTAGCTGTTAAAAAGAGCGAACGTGCTGCTAACCATAGCAACAAATATTTTCATGTAGCAAATGTCATTTTAAGTAGTAAGTAGTTTACATCTTGTCTTGTTTTGTGAGTTGGCACATCGTTAGTGTACGAATAATTGAACGCTCTCTTATGTGGAAAGGAGAAGAACTTGTGGCTAAACAAAGGACGTGTCTATATAGGAGTGGTTTTGAGAAGATTGCCAGAACGTAGAAAGAAAAGGATAGTAAAATACTGAGGGAGAAAGAGTGTCTGTGTCGAAGCTTTATCTTTATTATGCGTTATTGAGTGGATTGTCAAGAAACCAGAAATGGCTGCCAACGAGCATCAGCAAAAGGTACGTGATTATTTGCCATTGAATATTTCATTCAACGAGAATGAGAAATCTACGTGGGCAAGTGTTAAAAAATAAAGTACGATGCTCACAGTCATCATTGCAATCAAGTTAGCAATATGTCAGAACTTGAATAATATCGAAAAACATCTTGATTTTGAATAAAAAACATGTCGGATTTCTGATTTCTCGTAATCATTGAAAAATAGTTGACAATTTGAAAATAATATTCAATAATATTGTCAAAACATTGTCTCTTATTCTATTAATTAATTATAATTTTCTATTAAATTTATCATCTATATAAACTCGTAACGAATCATGACAGATTAAATATTCTCTCTCTCTCTTTCTCTGAAAGAACCAGTCTTTCTGATATTTATTTACATCTGGAATAACATATCTGTCAAAGTGACAGTTTGAATTGACAATATGTAACGAAAATACTGCAATTATTCATTTGATGGTAAATCAATGATTTAGGTCATCTTTTTATAAACAGGTGGTTGAGTTAGAAATTATAGAATAATTATTATATTAAAAAATAAGATTCTTTTTTTTCCTTCTACATAGAATACCATTAATTTCTTATCAGCTGTTTTCTATATTCTTGTTACAGAAATTCCATTATGATTTCCCTTTTTAATTTTACAATTCTTGCATAGAGGTGCCATAAACAATTTTTAAATATAATTTTTATAATAAATGAAAATTTAATTTTTCATTTATAAAACTTTCACTAAAAATTGATTAACGAGAAATTAATTAAGGATATAATATTATTGAAATTCAAAAATAATTAGAGCAAGCGAAAAAGTAGTGTCCTTGCTTTCTGGACGTGTTTGTACAGGATGTTAATATCATTATATTTATAAACGTCACTGATAGTGGGGACTAATATATTTTATAAATCATCGGGAACATTGACATTTCTGTTTGTTCAAATATTACAATATCTTATACATATATATGATTTGTTAACTAAAGTATGTAATAAGACTAAAAATAGAATATCACTGGAACAATACATTCATGCACTAGTAACTACTTCAAAGTTAATTGTCCTCATATTGTGAAAGGTTTCTGCCACATACCATTCGTGAAAAAAAATAAACTTCATTCAATATAGTTTAATACAAAATTCGTCCGCCTTTGTCGGACATTTCGTTTTCTCTCGAATTTCCTTTTACAAAGTATATATATATATGTTTAAGAGGATCGTGTATATTAAACATATGGTACATTTTACATTTACTAAATAATTTCTAATTCCTTTAATTTTCAGTTAAAAAATTGTCAATTCTTATTGTTCTATTATTTGATTGACAGAAAGATTAGAAAAAAAAATTAACATGAAAATAAACACAGAGAATATTTTAATAATATAATTTTTCTGAGGAAATTAACATTTTAATATTTGCATATTTTATATTCATAAAACACTTACACCAAACAACTTTACATTTACATTCGAAAGTAATATATAACTACTGTAATCGGAGAATTAATAATATAATGTTTATGAACATTATCAAAAAAAAAAAAAAAAGAAGGATTCGTGTTTTTCAATTTACATATCATTCGAGACATTTTCTCATCGTAGATAGAAAAAAAGAACTGAAATGTAATCTATATTTTTTGAAAAAAAAAAAATATATATATATATATACAAAGATTTAGGCAAAAAAATTTTATCGAAAAATGATTTGCAGCTTCTAGATTTTTTCAATAATTTTTCCTTTCACAATTTTTTTTTTCGTAAATAAAATTGAATTTAGAATAAAAAAAATATTGCTAATAAAATATATATACTATGTGAATGTATATATTATACTTTATGTAACTTTATATAGCAATTATGCAATATTGTTTAGTTGAATGTGAAACTAAATAGAATACTAGGAAAAGAAGAGAAGATAAATCGTAATTCAATCGACCGTCAACTGAATGTGATAAAAAGATCGTTAAACACTTCAATAGTAGGCTCTTTTGATTGGAAATATAAATTAATCCCAAAACATCACACATATATAATCGAAAAGAAAATAATTTTGTTTATTCTTAAGAAAAAATTTGTTTCTTTTTTTTTTACTTGTTTTATGTTTTTTCTTTCATTTTTCCGTTTTCCCTATGATCTTTTCTTTTTTTTTCTTTAAGAAAACTGAAATTGTGAAATGAAAAACTAAAATTAATAAAAGCTGATGAAATATTTATTTTTATTAATATAGGAACAACAGGAGTCGCGAGAACCTGCTCATCATGCAAGAAGACCGATGAATGCATTTCTAATTTTTTGTAAACGACATCGTGGCTCGGTTCGTACAGGTTTTCCTCATTTGGAAAATCGAGCTGTGACTCGAGTTCTCGGCGAATGGTGGGCCACACTTAATCCAGATCAAAAACGTTCATATACAAATTTAGCACAAGAGGTATAAGCAAATTAATTTATTAATTAATTACTATATATATCCAAAAAAAAAGGGAAAAAAAATTAAATTTCTCAATTGCCAATTAATTTTTCATTTTTGTAATTTTTATCAATTCCAATTTAGTTAATTAATTTTTATTAATGTTTTGAATGTATAAATTTTTAAAAAATTATTATATTTCAGTATAAAGATGCTTTTCTAAATGCAAATCCAGACTTCAAGTGGTATAAATTGCCGGCACCGCCGCTTCGTACATTATCAACGCGACCGACAAATAAAAAATCAGAAGCAGGATCTAGTGACATGAGTCCCGATGAAATGAAAGAGGAAAATTCTTCTTTAGATTTTTCCGAATCTGAAAGAACAGATGGTGAAGCAATTCAGCCTGGCAAATTAGCGGATGAATCGCAAATTGGTGGACTCAGCTCTTTATTTACACCACAGAAAGTTCAATCAACCGATAACGATGAAATAGTCAATCACTCAACACCGAAAATAGAAACAGAAAATAATTCCACTCCAAAACCGCCGAAAAAACGTTACATCGAACTACCACTTTCCGTCGAACAAAAAGAGGAATGTAAAGTCGATTTGTTTGGCGACAAGAACAAAACTAGAAAAGAATCAAATAATAATCATCAAACGGTATAAATTGTCCTTTATTTTTATTGTCTTTATTTTCGTTAATCAATAAGATATTTTGATTTTAGTTTTTAATGTAAGACAATTTTCTTTCTTTTTTAGATTTAAAATAAAATATTTTTTTTCACAGGAAATGGATGAAGGACGAAATGAGGGTAATTCTTATTTTGATGATTCCAATGCTGAAGAACAGAATTTTCGCGGTGAAAGAACATGCAAAGGATTACGTTATCAAAAATTTCTTGCCGAGCAGCAGAGAAATTTTAATTCCTCAACTCAACCGAATAAACGTAGAAAAATATCTGGAACACGAAGGTATGTGATTTATTATAGAAGTAGATTCATACAAAAAAATATACGTATATAACATTTTTTTTAAATTTTTCAGTGTTCCGGAAAGAACCGAAGGAAGGAGAAATTCAATCTCATCGAATGTTAGTGAAAAAACCGATTCTCTCAGCAGCGAGGGTAATAGTTCTCGTGGAGATTTAGAACATCTTGTTGAAAGGTAAACAAATTTTTTTTTGTCTATTAATTCACTTTCTGAAAAAAAATTTAATTCATTAAACAAAATTTACAGCGCCGAGGGAAACATCGAGGCTTCCAAACCAGAAGAAACAGAAACTGAAGGTGCCGAGGGAGAAATGGATTTTGGTCCTTGGAGTCATAAACGATTCAGGGCTGAGTAAGATTTAAAAATAATTTTCTTTTATATTTAGAAGGAACGATAGGGGAAAAAAAAGAAAGAAAGCAGCTGTAAAAGAGTTTCTCATTTTGAAGAATTTATCAATTAGAGACATATAATAATACTTTTTATCGTTTTATAGGGACTTTAATTTAGAGAAGAAAATTGAAGCACTCCCCTCATTGAGTTTAGAGGAATTTCAGGAGAAGAAAAAACAGCAACGTACCAAAAAGAAGAAGATTTTGCTTAAGGGAAATTCAAATTCGTCGAATAAGAAAAATTTCGACAATCTCCCATCTGGAAATGATAGTAGCAATCAAAATAATCAAAAACATTTAAGGCCTTCAGATGAATTATTGAAAGAGGAGGAAAAAAATCTTGTTGGAAGTCAAAAGCGAAAGGCACGAAAACAGAATATAACACGAAACGCTGCTCTGACCACTTTATCTAAACAAAACAATGACCAAGATCCAAGTAAATGTGAGTCACTTTTGAAAAGAATTACAAAATGTTTATTTTTAAAATGTAAACTTCATTTTCTTTTTATTATTTATTTCATTATATTTAATTACAATTTTTTTTTTAATTTTAAAGAATTATTTTTAATAAAAATTAAAATAATTTTATTTTTTTTAGCTTGGTGCGCTTCACCAGATCTCGAGGCTCTGGCGTGCCTTGCAACTGTTGCAGCAAACCGTACAAAACTCACAAAATCGTAAGTAAATGACTGAAGTTCGATAAACATTACTTTCTGTGAAATCGAAGGATTTTATAATATAGATGGATTTTTGAAAAATGGCGATGCGAATAATTATTGTACGATAAATACAAACGGTGCTGCTACTTTTTATAATCATATATTGTCATCTTTGTCGCTATCACCATATATATATATATTATATATTATCGTTGTACCACTGTGGAAATCGCTATTGTTATATGAAAAAAAAACAAACAAAAAAGAATATTTATCGTACACGCAAAATTAAAAAGCGAAATAATATCAACGTATATAAGACTTCCGTAGTTTAAGAAAGGATGGTATTTTTATTTTAGAGAATCGTGCCCGAAAAATATTACCGATTTTATAAAATTTTTTTTAAAAAAAAAAAAAGAGGAAGTAAAAATTCCTTAATCATCCTAAAATTGACGTGTAAAATTAATATTTTGTACATGAAAAATATAATTTTTCAATATAGGTATAATATATAGAAAATTGATTACTTATTAGCTATATCTAAATTTTTTTAAATTCGCGGTTTGAATAACTTAAAATTCGGGTAGTTTAACTCTCGGTTAAAAAAGTATGTAAATAATAATGATTTTCTAAAATTTTTAGAAAGATTTTATAATTGCCTTATTCGGTTTTAATTGTAATAATGAAACTAAAGTATTTTCTTTTTCATGTAAAAATCATGTACATAAGTAGATAATTTTTTTAATCTGATGATAAGAAAAATACACTCAAACGTTGACGAATATCATTAATTTTTATTTATTGATAAAGAATTTGAAAGAAAAAAAAAATTGATTAATGATTGTTTAACGTATTTCTTGAAGCATTTTTAAATGAAAAAAAAAATAATGAAGAAAGGATGACTGTAATGACAACAATAACAATGGCCATAATTATTGATGTGTATTGTCGTTAATTTTAAATATATAAAAAACGAAAAACTTTTTTAAAAATTTAAATATTTTACGAAAGTTGTTGTAAATAGCGATTGTGCAGTATTACAAATCCCTTATGTTGCAATTTATAAAACGGTAGAATCAAAATGTAAAGTTTTATTTTTAAGCATTATAAAATACGATATATACGTGGATCGTATACGTACAGAACGTTTTCTAATTTTTGAAAGAAAAATAAAGAAAGAGAGAGGGAGAGAGAAGGATAGCTTCTATATGGAATCCATGAAAGAACAAAAGCAACTTCCATTTGACAGAAATAGTTTAAATTTTTGGATACTTCCCAAATGATACAAGAAATTTCTCTAATTTCAAAAATTGTCAACAATGTTTTGTAAATCAATTTCCATTTTCGAAATTTCATTCTAATTACATATAGAAAAAAAAACAAAATAATTTCTATTTTCGAAAATTGAAAATGATAATTTAGAGGAAGTTTTGTATCAGCGATAAATATTTACCTCAAATAGTGCTAAAGTTCTTCCGCGGAAAATGAAAAAGATTATTCATTATAGTTAAATTAATAATTTCTTTAAGTTTATATAAGCTCAAATCGTATATCTAATTAGAGCATTTTATTTAGGGGAATTTTTAATGCAATTGTTATATTAAGTCACAGTACATAGTAGAAATACACCAAATTTTACATTTTTTCTCCTTTATTTCATATAAGGATAATATTTTTTAGTTAATTTATCTGCAAAAATTGTTTTTGCTGAGAAATTAAAAATTTTTTACAAACAGTATTTTTTTTTTACTAATGCTTTTAATTTTCTTTAAAAATTTATTTTATCACTTTTAAACTATTTAATTACTCTATCGTGTGTTTAAAATATTTTAATTATTTTTATACGTATATATGAAAAGTAATTGTCGATTAAAGTGTTAATTTATTAATTATTTATTATTAAAAGTCGTCTCATTTTGTTTCGATTATTTGTGAAATTATTATTTTAAAAATATATTTGATTAAAGTTCTTTTTGTTGACTTATAATTTTTTTTCCATGAAAGTTCTTAGTGAAAAATAATAATAATGATAATTTTTGAGAAAAATCTTTTTAATTTTCAACATTAACATTAAAATATCGTAGATAAAATATCTAAAAAAAATTTTCTACTATTCCTTTACAAATTTTTAAAGTAATCATGAATTTTTAAAGCGCCTTCAATGTTTTTAAACATTTTTTCAAATCAGCGATTTTAAAAAAGCGAAATAATACTAAAAAAAAGAAATTGAAAAAATAGTGAAATGTTTAAAAAAAAATAAACAAAGTGTAGAAACATAGTAGCAAAAAAAAAGTTTTAAAATTTGTGAAGCATTTTTTAAAAAAAACACAACTTCAAATGGATTTTGTGAGAAACTACACACGATTATAAATACATAGATAATATGCAATTAATGGATTTTTTAAACGAAAAATGTCAATCCAAGACTACTTATATACAATATATTTATAATATTTATATGTAATATCATCTAAGCTACCTAACTGATGTTTCAATTTGGTGTTTGTCAGAGAAAGTAAGATAATCGTCTGTGATTTTGGCTAATGGAATTTACAAACGTTTTATATTTTTCTACATTTAATTGTCATCTTTAGTTTTGCTAATGAAGAAACAGAAAGCAAATCTTTGACAACTATTTTTAGAGAATTAAATAAAAAGAAAGAACAGGTATCCAATATGAGACTTTTGTTAAAGTCATTTGAGGTTGAATAATGTTTATATTTCAAACGTGCCTTGATAATGAGAGAGTTATTTTTTAAATGAATGAAACAGATAATATTTGAAAATTTTTGTCGCTTCTTTTTAATCACATTTGATTTTCATTTTTAACTTGCGGACCACTCGGATAAAGTAATAAATTCCGAGCACTCCTACATATATATATATATATATACAAATATTTATATATATGGAAAAAACGATTGGGCACTTTTAATAATCCATTTGGATTTCACTGCACAAAATATCTTTGTAATAGCTTTAAAATTGTAATTTTAGTTAATAATTTAATATTATAATAGTAAACTATATATATATAACTATATAAATATATATATGTTATATACACGTCTGTAACATATTGTATAATGTTTATATTATGATAATAAAGATATATAATATTTTGATGTAAAATGATTATACAAAAAGTATTTGCATTTATTTTTATTTCACTTTATTAAATCCTTCTTTAATTTTTTCTTGTGTATACATATTTTCTTCGGAAACAATAAATTTCTCGCTTCAATATTCGACTAAAACTTATTGAGGGATTCAACTTGATAAAATTGTCGCATTTCTACATATTGAGATTTTTTTTTTTTATTTATTTTGATTTGTCAATAAAATCGTGATTTTCACACATCACTATATGATCACTCAAATATATTTTATATTGAAATATATTTATATATATATATATATTTTTTTTTAATAATATATTTATACAGTATAAATCTTTTTTTTTCTAGTCAATAATTTCTCAAACCACTCTGTATACATAATCGTCTTAAAAATTTTAAAAGTGTATAATATATTAAATAATTTGTTTCTTAACAATATTATAAGACTCGTGAGAGGTAAAGATTTCTCGTTTCTAAAAGGACGTAACAATGAAAAAATTCATTGCTTTTTTTGTTTTGTTTTTTTCTTCATAAGATTTGATATGAAATTGAGAATTATGTAAATTTTAAATATATATATAACGATATAAGCTCGATGTTGAAACAGTGTGTTTCTCAAATTTCTTATTAATTACACTATCATGTATAACTATATCTTACACATTGCAGCATTTACACATGAATTCGGTAAAGAGTTCATTCGATTTTAGTCGAAATTAATTATTTTAAATCATTTATTACAATGAAAGATCGTAAATAGGTATCAATATTTTTTAAAAATTCATTTAGTTACTAATTAAGAATTCACACATTCTGTTGTTATGAAGAAAGGGAAAAAAAAAAAAAAAAAAAAAAAAAAAAAATTGATACTTCACAAGATGATCAGAAATGATCTTCCAATAAATCATTTGATGTGGAAATTGTTGGAAAAGCTTGTGGGTAGAAGATTGAGATTGATTTAGGACTAAAAATCGGATACATGGAGTTGTGAGAAATGATTATTCACAATTTAAAATTGATTGTCACGGTGAACCTCTGACGATCGCATCAAGAATAAAAATTTGAAATGAAGCAAAACGTACAATGTAGGCACATAGAATAAAATCATCAAAATGAAAATTTTAAAAATCTAATCTCCTAATAAAATTAACTTCGATATAACCGTTTTTTTTTTAAATATACACATTGTAATAAAAAATAGAATAACATGCTCTAATTCATAAACATTAATGTTAATAATATAATGAAATAACGATAATGGCAGTGTACTTATTCAAAGCAGAGGTACACACACACAAAAATAAGTACTTACTTCATGAAAGAATTCACAATCCTTTTATTTTTTCACCTCAAGTTTTTTTTTCTTCTTTTAATAATAATAATAATAATAATAATAATAATAATAATAATAATTGGCAATATTTGACAAAATATTACAATCACTTGAAATTATTTATCTTATTACTCGAAGATAAATAATAAGTGACTTTTTAAATAAACTCGAGGTGATTCTCTTTTTTTCTTTTATTTCCTTAAAATATACTAAGAAAATTGACTTATGATATGAAAATGGACTCCTTTAGAATATATATATATATATAATATGCTATTCGTGTAGGAAAATTGTATTTTATATTTTCTAATAATTTTTTTTTCAGTCTTTTTGGGATATTTTAGGACAAAAAAAAATTTTAATACTTTTAAAAAACATTAAATTAATTTTAAAAAATTGATTCAAGTTTCTTCACATATATGTGAATAATTAAAATTTATAGTGATTAAAAATTGATAAGTACTTTTTTGCGAACTAGTAGTTTAAAATTCACACCGAAGAGTGGAGGGAAAAAAATTAAGTTGAATAAAACAAAAACACAAAAAAAAAATCTTTAAAATTAAGTTAGGTTGCCCTTTGTCTTAACGATAGATTAAAATTCTTTTCACTTAAGAATTCTACTTACTAAAAATCATTTACAAATTAATATCGGGTTGTAATGAAGAGCACTTCGTTTCTAGCGATTACTAAATTTCATCGCGGAGATCATTTGATTCGATTATTAATTTATACCCACACACCGTGAGGATTTTTGCTAGTAGGCACTGCAGTTTCTAATTGTCTTGGAGATCCTATCATTTTTCGTGTACTGCCAGGTCGCTGTGCGCCTAAAATACAAAAAAAAAACGTTTCATCATTAATTAAATTTCAATAATAATAATAAAATAAACCAAATTTCTTTTTTTAGGACATTTCAATAGAAAATTACCTTCTAAAAGATGTTTAACCTGCTCATCCTGAGGACCAACAGTTAAACTTTGTAAATTTGCTTCCTTCATATCCGCCACTAATCTTTCGACCTGCAATTTTTTCTCCCCAATTGCAGATTCTAAACTGGCAACTTCCATTTTCAATGATTCAGCACATTGTGTCGATAATTCAGCAGATCGTTTTATTTGCTCGACTTCACTTTGTAAATGTTCCACTTCACTTATCATTTTGCGCTCCATCATTTGATGCTCATCTGTCTTGCGACTGATATTGTGTTGTTCTATTGCCAATTCTTCCATTACCAATCTATAAATAAAGGAATATTATATTTTTAAAATAAATTTTTAATATTATTAAATATTAATAAAAATATTTTAAAAATTGTAAAAAAAATATGAAAATATTAGTATATAAATTTTATTTCTATTGACAAATTGAAAAAATTACCTAATTTTATTTTTACATTGAAGAAGTTCAGTTTCACAGTTTGCCAACTTTGATCTCAAAAGTGTTATCTCGGACTTGAGAGTTTTCTCCTGCTGTTTGACGATTTCATTTTCTTCTTCTACATGTGCCAATTCTTTTAACTAAAAATCGATACAATTTCAAAATTTATTTCATTATTATCGATTTATTGAAACACTAGCAATAAGTGTATAAATTTCAAAAAAAAATTAACTGAGAAATAAAAGTGACTATTTTAAAAATCATTGACAAATAATCTTTTTTTTTTTTTGAAAAACATCAATTTCTAAATTCTCAAAAAAGTAAAATTAAATGTACTCTTTTTTTACCCACCTGTTCCTCAATTTTTCGTCCAGCAGTTTCAAGACGGCTTACTTCTTGAGCAATAAAATCCATTTGATGCATTTGTTCCCTATTTTTGGTCTCCCAATAAAGTATTTCCGCATCATACTGAAAGTAATTTCATTGAAAAACTTTTGTATTAAATAACATTAACTTAAACAAAAATTTTCCAGATCGAATTAAATTTTTTGTGTCAATATTAATAACATTAATTTAGGGTGTCCATTAAAATTTCCTTATAAAATTCAAGTTTTTTTTTTCATGACTATTTCTTGATTTTGAAAAAATTTCCATATTTTCTAAATTAAGACTTTACTCTAAAAGATAAATAAATTTTAAAAAGTTATAAAAAATAATTACAGGTGAGTTTATGGTTCATGTCGTTTTTCCGGTTTTCAAGATTGAGTTTAAATTTTTTTGTTATGTAGATTTAAAAACGCAAATTAATTTTTGTACTTTTTAATTAAATTTTCAGTAGCTGTATTTCGACAAATATATTTTTTTTTTGTTAATTACCTTTGTCATATCTGCTTGCTGTGAATTAAGTGTGTCCCTTTGTCTATTGACTAGTCTAATAAGCTCAATATATCTTTGACTGTACGCGGTGCCAGCCGCATTTTGTGATTGTCCTGTTACTTGGTTCATATTTTGACTTGGACTTCTACTTTCTTGAAACTCCTAGCAATTATTAATATCATATTTTATACATATTTTTTCATTATATTTAATTTTTGTTATATTATTATTTTTAATGAACTTTTTCTTTACTTATTATTATTATTAACTTTAATTGACTTATTACCTGATTGAGGTTCTTTTTAGATTTTATTGCATTATTAGAAGACAGCTGATCCTCTTTATGTAGACGTGGACTGTTGCCTCTTGCACCAGACACACCTTGAGATCTTCCAGGACTACTAAAATTTGGTGGTGGTGGATCACGATACGGAGGCAATGTCCTTAAAGGCGGAGAACTAGGACCCGGTGGATCTCTATAAGGTGGAACTTCTCGAGCCTTTTTCTGAGACATGTATATAGCTGTAAAATAAACCCAAAAACATTATTAATCCAAAAATAATTAGAATATTCAATTGAATAAAAATCAATTAATTAAAAGATAATCGTGAATAAAATTATTTTTTCAAAAATAATATATTTACATTCAGCGGCTGTTGTTCTCGTTGGAGATTGAGCGGTTTTTTGAGATATTTTCCGCATATTAAAGTCTTTTGACTTTAATTGCGGTGTAGGCTGAACTATGGCAACATTTTCCATTTGTACCTGAAAATAATAATCAATTATTATCGTTCATATAAAATTAAATTGAAAAAAAATAACAAAATTTTTTTAAATAATTGAGAAATTAACAATATTGTCAAAAATTTAGCAAATTAAGAAAATCGACAGAAATTATATTTATTAAATTACATTTCTCTATGAAGAATTAAAATTGAAAAAATAAAAAAAAATGTTAAAATAAGAGAAAATAAAACAATACCTCAGACGTATTTTCCGACGTGTTTCCATGAAGGCCACTAAAGGTTAAAGACTTTCTAATATCTCGATTTCTTTCTAGGCCGTCTTGTACATCGTCGAATTCTTGAATTGGATTAGTCGGGCTACATTTAGCATCTTCATAGGGATTGAGTGATTGATCTCCCAGCGAACTGGGTAATCCGCTTGGCCTACTTCCATGAACTAATCTTGTACCCGAAGGACCTGGTGTTTTATTTGACTCTGGGGTAGATCGCTTTAATATCAATTGCACTTCGGACGCATATTCTCCCCATTTCATTAAAATCTTTTCAAACACAACATAATTATTAAAATACTTTATAATATTTATTTATAAAAATAAACAGAAAAAAAATTAAAACATTGATCGAATTTCATTAAAACAATGACAAATAAACCATTTATTTCGTTACAGTATTTACCATGTTAAACGCCTATTATTAATTTATTGCTTAACAAAGTTCTGAATAGTTGCGTATTTTCATGAATATTTTAATATATACATATATATAGATAATTGCCCACCTTTAGAGGGTTTTCATAAGGAGCGAGAAGCCTTTCGCTCGTTCGCCAACGTTCAATCAAGGTGAACCGTCCAGTTTGTGCTGTTGCATGTGCAAGAGCATAAACTACATCCTGGAAATATATATTTCAAATAAACACTAATACTGAACTTGATTTCAAGTTCTATATTTTTAATTAACAAATAAAGTTAATTAAGAAAAATTAAAGTTTTCTTTGACTTTTTTTTAATTATTTCAGAATTTTAATCCAACTAAAAATAATTTTATTTTTAATTATGAAAATAATTAGTTTTTAATTTAATTTGAATTTATTTAATAAATATTGGAAAAATTTAAATAATTAGCTCATATAACAATTTTTTCATGTACCTATTTTAGAATTAAAAAACTGAAAATTTATCTAATTTACAAGAAAGAGTAACTTTGTGTAATTTAGATTTCTCAAATACATAAAGTTTCAATATATTTTAAAGTCAAATGTTTTCACTTTAATCAATAACTTATAATATCTATATATCTACTTCACACTTTCAATAAAAACTGTTAAATGACAATCGTACCATATAAAAAATATACGATGACAAATGTGAGAATTTATATTTATAATTAAAGAATTAATTACAAATCAGACAAATGTCTTTTTATTAACTGAAATGAAAAATGAAAAATAATTTACCTGGCAAGTGGTTGTTTCGGTGACACCACAAACAATACGTTGAATACCCTCAACCCACACCTTCAACTCCATTGCATCATAAATTCCTTGGCATGTCTTTTTCTACTAATGTTATTTTCTTATTGTCCCGTACCACGAGAAACTTGTGATTTTTCTCTTGTTCCAATTTCACCGTATAATTTAATTAATTTTGTATTATTGTTATTGCGTTTTTCTTATTGCCATATTACTATATTCTTATTTTATTTAGTATATATATATACTAAATAATAATTTTACATACGTGAATTAAATAAAATCACTGCGATTCAACGATAGAAATATTAAGTGCTTTCAATAATCTTTAAAATTTATGTGAGAAAATCTCCCAATACAATCACTATTTCCAGTTATATATTAAATTATTCTCCATATCGCTAACTTCTGTTCCATAACCTGCAAGACTGCAATAAACTGAAAAAGTTAAAAACTGCAACAAAAACTAGGCTGATTTTTATGAAAAAATTGTTTGTTTTTGAGCTTATGGCGTGTTTTTATGCATCCACATTGGTTACTATGGTAACGGCAGGAAGATTTTTTAATTTTGAACATTATAATTCAATTTAGATAAATTAATTATTTAGTTTAAATTAAATATAATTAAATTATAAAATGTATAATTTAAATTACTTTTAATTCTATTTAATTATGTTAATTAATTTCTTTAAAACTAACATAAGTAAATTAAGACAACAATAGTGGCTTTGGACAATTATAAACAAAATGGCGGAAACTTTGACCAATCAGAAGGTTTGATGGTTGGTAAACAATAAATGTTTAAAACAATTCTTTATATAATTGTTTTAGTTATTCTTTTGGCATAATTAACAAATTTGACAAATAATTTTATCACATTTTAATATTTATATGGTTAATGTGAATTTTTTAAAAATTAAAATGAATTACGTAAATTACGTAAAAAAAATTATTCCTCACCACTTCCCAATTTCCCATCTCTGACATAACATATGAAAACAGTATAATTCTCCCCCTGTTAATGTTAATTATGATTTTATAGTGTAAAAATTTAGTTTTATACTGAAAATTATAAAAAATAACATTTTATTGTGTTTTATTTTAAATAATAAATAATAACAAAATGGGTCGACGTTCAATAAACACCACGAAAAGTGGGAAATATATGAATCCCACTGATCAAGCACGTATGTATTTTATTTCTTATTAAAAATTTAAATTATTATAAAAAAATAGATATAAATTATTACATTAGCACAAAAATAATTATTAATAAAATATGATTTTTTTTTCTAAATTATATCTATCTTTCATATTTTTTTTATTCAGTCAATTTGAAATAGAATTCTAATATTTTTAAGCACAATAATTTGAAGAGGTTAGGTTTAGTGTTTTTATTTGCGTATATAATTAATAAAATATAAATATTACAAAAAATTAATGGACAGTTTTTCTTAAAATCATTAGGAAAAGAGGCTCGAAAAAAGGAATTAAAGAAAAATAAGAAACAAAGACAATTAGTAAGAGCTGCTGTTCTTAAAGGAAAAGATCCAACACAAATTATTGAAGAGATGGAGAAAATTGATCAAATGGGTTTGTAATTACATGATAATAATAGTAAATATAAGAATGTTTTGCTCAATATTGTTATTAATATTTTTTTTTTAGAATATAATGTTATGCAGCCTCCTCCATTAAATGAAAAAGTATTAAAAGATAAAAGAAAGAAATTAAAGGAAACATTAGATCGTGTTTTGAAAATGTATGTAAGTATCTCAACAATTGCAGTTAAAATATTTTTTTGGAAATTGTCTCTAAATCACTGAATTATTTACTTTTAGTATTAATTTAAATTTTCGATTATTGATTTTGTTTGAAAATTTTTTGGTATATTTACTATTTTTAGTTTCTTTTTTGACTAATTTTTTTTTTATTGTCATTGATTTTTTTTTAATTTTTCACAGTTTTGTTGTATTTTATTTTTATTTATTCTCATGGAAATTAGTTTTAAAAATTAATAAATTTTCCAATTCTTAGGCTAAAGATGATCAAGAAAAATGGACAGATCTCAAGGAACAATTAATTCAATACGAACGACGAAGAACAGATTTATTAACATATTTTGAAGCAGTAAGGCACGCTCAACAAGTACAAGTTGACGAAATTCCTTTACCAACTGCTGTAAATGATATTTCTCGAATGTACTCTGGTAAATGTTTCATTATTTGTCTTTCTAAATGAAGAAATTCTTAAAGAATAAACTTTCATGAATGTGAGAATAATAGGAATATATACTTTTTTTCAGGTTCCTTAACGTCACAAATTCCTTTACCAGATCTCCCACAACCTCCTCCCCATCTTTATTCGTCTCATCCTCATTTAGTAATGACACATCATCCATTAATGAACATTCCTGTACCCACAAGTATTTTGAAAAAAACAAGTGCGTACTCTTTAGCTCCAGTTATTCCTACTTTATCACCAAATAAAGAAGCTCCAGGTGTTCCACCTTATCCACCCGTTGAACTTGATAGCGATGATGACGATATTTCCGATAAGGTAAGAAAATATTTTATTTTCCTTCATTTTAATTTGAATACAAATTTAAAAGAAAATTTATAATTTTTTATAGGTCAAAGAATCAAGTTACAAATCGAAGACAATTCGATTTGCTGATGAGAGGGGTAATAAATTGAAACACGATTATGAGAAGGATCAAGATAAAGACGTGACAAAAGTAAAACCAACGAGTCTTCAACAAAAAATGTTGGCAATGGCAGGACAAGATATTGATCAATTTATGCGGGAAATGGAAGTGGTTCATAAGAAACGTGAAACAGAACGAGCGCAAGATTTAAATGTCCGTCTATCGTTACTAAAGGATGTCGATTCCGAGAAAACAAATAAAAGCACAGAATCTGGAAATACCGATAACGATCATGAATCTAGTGGTAAATCAACGGATCATTCATCAGTATTAAATCATTCGGCAATGTCTCATCCAGCTATGCCTCTTATGGGTCTTCCACCGCCACCACCTTTACTATTTCGACCTCCACCACCGCCAATACATCTTAGGATGCCTCCACCTCCACCACCTCGTCACGGACTTAGACTTCCGCCAGGTATTTATTTCAAAACAAAAAATAAAATTATTTCTATGTTAAATTGAGAAAAATAAGGGGAATAATAAATTCTTTCTAAAAAAAAAAAATAAATTTAAATTGAAAAAAGAAATTTAAAATTACCTTTATTTAGGTCCGCCTCCAGGTGTACCGCGTTTACTGCGACCAGGACCACCGAGTATGCCACGCATGCCACCACCACCAATGCAAATGTCTAATTTGAGCGGTGTCTCAAGCAATCAGTTGCAGCAGCAAAATGCATCCGGTGCAGTGGCGTCAAAGACACCAAATGTATTGTCCGCAGCGCCACAATTGATAAATCGAAAAGATAAAGATGGCAAGAGCACAACGACAATAGAAGCTAAACCACAAATACGAAATTTGGCAGCGGACGTAACAAGATTTTTACCAACTTCCTTGCGAGTCAAGCGAGACGATAAAAAGAAGGCAATTACAATGCTTAGGTTACCAGAGAAATTCCCTGAGGTACAACCAACAAAAGTTGTACCACCAAAAACAAAGGATGACGCTTATATGCAATTTATGCAAGAAATGGAAGGTTTACTTTAAAGATTAAAATTATTTTTATTTTAAGTACATAGAATCATTATGTACTTGTCGAATTTAAAAAAAAAACTAGTTTAATATAAGACAATGCAACACTTTTAATTAATTCAATAAACATTTAAAAAAAAAAAGCATATAGTATCTCTTTTTTCGTTATCACATTCATTCTTTCGTATTTATAATTTTAATATACAACAAAATCTCAACAATTATCAATAAATAATTTACGTATATATTCGAATAATATCGTATAAACTTCTAGAGAACAAAATTTAAAAATTCTTCTTCTCCGAAATTCTACTTGCTCACATAAAAAAGAACTTGTACAAAATTCGACCAGTTTACCAATGAATCTGAAAGAAATAAAATTTTTGACATGAATATTTTTAATAAAAATAATAAAATATTTTAATATTAATGAATTTACATACCTAATAATATAAAAATATGAAAATCTCCAAATTGAAAAACTATTTGGCACATTGTGGTCATAAATTATAATTTTCTCGTAATCGACATTAAAAAAAAAAGAATTAACTAATTTTTTTTTTTAAGTAATCCTATAGTTGTTCAATTATATCGTGATCATTTTTTAAGGTAGGCTGTTTCACGTTTTTTTGGTGGCGTTTTGTTTTTTGTAATTCTTTCGCAAAATAAGCTATTGTTTTCTTTAGGCCAACAACTAACGGTACTTTTGGCTCCCAATTTAAATATTTCTTTGCTCGTGATATATCTGGTTTTCGTCTCTGTGGATCGTCTTCGAGTGCGGCAAGCTCCACTATTGTACTTGTACCTCCTATTAAATCCTTAATGAACATGGCAAATTCTAGAGAAATAAAAAAACAAATTTAATAATAGTATTAACATTCAAAAGATATGAAATTTTGTTTCATCAAAAAGAAGTCTTTTTTTTACCTTCTATAGTGTGCTCAACGGGATTTCCGAGATTAACAGGTAGACTATAATTAGAGGCCATTAATGCCATTAAACCATCGACTAAATCGGAAACATATTGAAACGATCTAGTTTGTTTTCCATTCCCGTAAATTGTTATCGAATCATTTTGTAACGCCTGTAGTATAAAATTTGAAACAACTCTTCCATCATTCATATGCATTCTTGGACCAAAAGTATTAAAAATTCGAGCAATTCGTATATCGACTCCTTCCTGTCTCATGTAAGCGTAACTTAAAGTTTCAGCGATTCGTTTTCCCTCATCGTAACAAGCTCTTGGACCTAAATTAATATTAAAAAAATTATTAAAACAATAATAATTATTATTATAAAGAAAAAAATGTAAAGATTTTATAGAAAATATATTACCAATGGGATTAACGTTGCCCCAATAGGTTTCGGTTTGAGGATGCTGAGTTGGATCGCCATAAACTTCAGACGTACTAGCTATTAAAACTCGAGCACCAACTCTTTTCGCAAGACCTATCGTAAAATATTAATACATTGAATTTTAATTAATAATAATTATTATTAATCAATTATTATTCTTCTAAATTAAGTATATTTTGTTTTTAAAAAAAGGCTAATTATTTAATATAATTAAAACTAATTAAAATCACTCACCAAGCATATTAATTGTTCCTAAAGTATTAGTTTTAATTGTTTTAACAGGATTACGCATATAATGAGGTGGACTAGCAGGACTAGCGAGATGATAAATTTCTTCAACCTCGAGATATAGAGGCCTTATAATATCGTGATGTACCATTTCGAAATTTTCATGACCCACCCAATGCTCAACATTACGTTTTCTACCAGTAAAAAAATTATCAACAACAATGACTTCATGTCCGGCAAGCATTAGACGATCAACTAAATGTGATCCTACAAATCCAGCACCACCTGTTACCAGGACTCGTTTTCGATTTTTGTAATTTAAAAATTTAACTATTGGAAAACTTTTATGCACTTGATTATTAATCAAAGCTTCCATTTCATTTAATTTTTTTTCTAAATTTTTTATTTTTTCATGTGCCTCTTGAAGCTCTTTAATATTTGCATTTGACAATTCATTTTTTGATTCGTATATGGCATCTGTTCTACGATTAGTGTATATTTTTTCATTGTTACTCTGATTTGATTCTCGAAAGGATGAAAAGAAACTTTTTTCATTCTCGGTATTGACAATTGATTTGTACAAGCCTAGAACTGAAAAAAATTATATTTTTTGAAAATAACATCTTATTATTCTTTTTTTTGTAAATTTCCGATATATATATATATTATTTTTTTACTAAACTGACAATTTTAAATATAAATCTGTATAATATAAGAAATTGACAAGAAAAACTTTTTCTTTCAAAATTTATTTTTTTTAATTTCTGTTAAGTTTAACTATACATTTCAAAATTGTAGAAAAACAACGTTACACGTTACATTTAATTCAACTCACTCACTATATATTGTAAATTTACAGAAATTTTAAAAAATAATAATTTTAATTCTTTTATAGCAAAAACAAAAATATTTAAAATATAACTTTAACGTGAAATATTGGTTTGTAAATATTTATCAAAAAAGTTGGAGGTTATTTCGAATAATTTTAAAGTGACGTTTATTCATATATTATAATAAATTTAAATTATGAAAATAAACATTTCGTATTAGTTACAAAGATAATCATAAAAGAATAATACTTTTAAAGCAGTAAATATAATTTTAAAAAATTAAAATACTCACTCAATATTAAGCATATTATAAATATTGCTATTTGTCTCATTTTGCGTTGGGTCATAACCATTCTATCTTATATTTCATTTTTTAATTACAATCAAATAATTGCTTTATAATTGTTTATTAAATATATAAAACTTCCTGTCTTTATACTATATATATACGTATATATGTCAGTCAATGTCAATGATAGAAAGCTGCCTGTCAGTGATCCCACAATTCTAAACATAACCTTTTATTTTCTCCCACTTTTATTTGTAAGCTATCAGGGTTGAGACTGTAACTCTTTCTAATTATAAAATATATTCTTTTTGCAATTATAATAAGTTTTTGTTTTGTAATTTATTAGATAAAAAGAAAGATTTCACTTATTTATATTATTTATTTATAATATATTTATTTATTAATATTTGAATTGTAATTTAGTTAAATCAGAATTAAGTCAGTATTACTAAATAATCATAGTGACTTTTGAATTTCGATAGTCGATAGTTACTAAAGAGACTGGACGTGACGTCACTTCCATTTCTTAAAAGTGTGTAACATTTACTTACCAATCCCTGCTGCATGCTCCCGGTGACCGGTGTTGCCGGTTTGACCATTAATCTGGCTTTGAATGCGTGCAGCACGCGTGCCTCAGTAAGTTGAAATTGTTAAAACATAACAATATTTTTTTTTTAGTTTGTACAATTTATTTATTGAAACAATAATATAATAACAATAGACTGTTTTAATTTCGCATAGCCAAATTTATTGGTTATGTCTGTCCTGTGTCTACAAATTGTCATAAGGTATTTTGTCACATTAATTATGGAATTCGTTTTTTGTGTTTTTTTACTTAATTTGTGAAAAATTCAATCTTGTGCTGTACTCCTCGGAGTTTTTTTTGTTATGTGTTAATATGTAATTTATTTGCTAATTTTTTTAGAATTTTGTTTTCTCAGTGTTGTATATTCTTTCCACTTTATATTTTTTTGCAACACTAACCTCTAAAGTGCAATTTTACACACCGAAAAGTGTGTGTAAAGAAGCTCTTTATAAAACGCTGTGTTAAGTGATTCACTTAACGGACTGAAATTTACTGTATACTTGAAATTAAACCTAAATTATAGGTTATTAATTAACTTTTTATAAATATTAAATAACAGTGTCATTTTTCATGAAAATAAATAAAGTAAGATACCTATTTAGTAAAGTGGAATTTTGAATTTTAAACATTTAAGTATAAATTTTTCCATAATTATTTCACTTCCTGCTTTTTTTTATCTCAGTGAATGCTTCATAATAGGTTCTTAACTTTAGAGGTGGGTGTTGCAAAAAATATTGTATAATACACGTGCATAAATCAGATCACTTTACGCACTTGCATAATAAATAACTATTGTATATTACATATAATTTCAGTAATTGGAAAAAAGTTAATAAATTAAATTAATTTTTTAATTCACTAAAAGTTAATATTGCGCACTTAAACTAAAAAATCAAATGCTTTAATTTAATATTAATAATAGTGAATTGAAAAATTGAAATTGAAGAACAAAATTTTTTCAAATACGAATAATTTTTAGATACATTTTTTTCTTGTTGACATGATATGCGAACAAAAAATAATTTTTCAGCTTTAAAAATTAAGTGTCTTCGAGCATAAAAATGAATATTGCATCTGATGCCTGAACTATAGTAGTATTAATAAAAAAATTTATTAATTTGGGTCAGTCCACTGACTTTCGTCTAATAGTGGTTGCGACCAAATTTAAAAAAAAATGTAGTTTTAATATATGTGAAACTCGATGATTCCCTGTGTTCATTAATCATAATATTATGGTAAAAATTTTATTCCCTTTAAAAATATTAAATATTAAAAGTAGTAGATTCACAATGTGATTTTGTAACCTTAAATTTTTCAATTTTTTTAAAAACGCTATTATTAAAAAACTATTAAAAATTAGATGTTGGAACTCACCAAAAACATAAATCACTTTATTCTGCACAGAGGAACGAACGAATTATTGCAAAAATTTATTATTTTTGGATGATATACGATTTAAAAAAAAATTTTATTTAAATATTCTCAAGATTTTTATTTACTTATAACTTTTTTTTCGGTGCTCTGAAAAAATTGAGGTTTTTGCACAAAGATTTTTTATAATATTCTTTACCTTCTATTGAAATCTTACGAAGGTGTTTTGCTTTGTTTTGGAGATATTAATTTTCAAAATTTTTTATTTAAAATGGTTAATTAAAAGACTTGAAGTTAACTGACCAATTTCAAATCGCTACATTTTAATATGCTTGAATCTTAAAGAACAATTTTACCAAAGGAAAAATTAAAGGCATTACGCTAAGTTGATTAAAAATCAATTTTTCATTTGCGTTTAATTTCATCATTTGTTATATTTGATTAACACCATGTATAATCTTAACGTCTCAGAATGCAATTTAGTAATGTAAAATAATAATAACTTCAGATAGAAATTCTTAATTATATTCAAAAATCAACGTAGAAAGCTTTTTAGTCTTAAAAACGTTAATATTTTTATTAAAATAATTTTTTTTTAAGTTATCGTTATTTTACTTTATTATATTTAATTTTCAGACTTTAAGATTTATTCGACTTTCAATCGCAGCGCCTACGTTAGTGGCGAATTTAGAAAGCCTTTTTTTTGCTTCAATACGTGCGCCTTTTCTAATCCATCTTTGTATATTCTATGCTATCGTTAAAACTATGTATTTGATTGGTTGGTAATATTTTTAAAAAATTTCTAGGTATTAGAAAAATTATGAAAAATATAAATTGAAGATATTTTTGCCATAAAAAATCAGAAATAATAAAAAATTACAAAAAATGTGTCTGAGAAAGAATATTGTCAATACGAGTATCGAGAATTGGCCTGTTATATACGAAGGCAACAACATATAACCAAGAGGAAAAAGAAGTTATAGTAAACAGTGCTAATTGGAATATATTACAATTAATGAATATAATTTTTAATTAAGTCATCTAAAGATCAGTTGAAGAGAATTAAAATTTCGCAACAGGTAAACTTCATTATATCAATTTTTGTATCCTTTTCTTCATTTGTAATTTTTTTCATCTTATTTATGTGTGTGAAGTTGATCTTTTTGGAAAAATTTAATCATTCACACGGAAGGAAATACTTATCTAAGATTACTGATATAAACTTATTGATATTTATTATATATCTTTATAAAATTTTTTTTTTTAATATGCATGGGTAAGTCCACGTCAGAAATATCAGAATCTGCAAGTGGTTCTTCGATTTTAATGATACTTGGTAAAATTATAGCTTTATATAAGAGCAATGTGTGAGTAAAAGGAATTTTTAAAATATCTAAAATTGTAGGAGTTATATCACTTTTAATTTTGATACTGCATTTTTTTCTTTCCTTTATATCTCGGTCAATTTTCAACCGATTTTGATGAATCAAAAACGATTTTTTTCAGAAAATTACGTATTTTCAGAAAATTTTAAAATAAAAATAAAATTTTGTTATTTAAATAGAAAAAAGTAAAAAACAAAATTTCTTTTAGATTTTTTTCAATTTTGACCTCTTTTTTTTAATTTTTAATTTTTTAATAATATTCCTTTTTAATTTATCTTTAATTTTAAAAAAATTCATCCTGGAGACTTTTTTAGATCTCGTGATATCGTCCTTTAAGTATTATAAGTCTTCATCAATTTGAAAACCGCAGGACTTGCTTCTATCATTACTTTCATTTGTTTGTTGAAATTTTTTATGGTTATGAATAACTATTTGTTTTAGAATCCTCTAAAAGAAAGCGCTAAAAACTTCAGCTACAATTTCAGGTTGCATTGTTAAGGTTTCATTACAATTTATTTTAAATTATAAATATTACAAAAAATAAAAACTTTGCTTCAAATCTATTAATATAATATTGATTTGCTTGAATTTTCACTTGTTTTAGTCAAGTAATTTAAAAATAAAAACATTATTACGCGAAAGTTTCTAGTTTGTAACAATAATATTATACAAGAAATGAAAGTAGAAACACAAATCTGGATCCTAGTTTTCTTGAGATGTGGATATTTAAAGAACGATATCACGAGATCTAAAAAAGTCTCCAGGATAAATTTTTTTTTAAATTAAAGATAAAATAAAAAGGAATATTATTAAAAAATTAAAAATTAAAAAAAAGAGGTCGAAATTGAAAAAAATCTAAAAGAAATTTTGTTTTTTACTTTTTTCTATTCAAATAACAAAATTTTATTTTTATTTTAAAATTTTCTGAAAATACGTAATTTTCTGAAAAAAATCGTTTTTGATTCATCAAAATCGGTTGAAAATTGACCGAGATATAAAGGAAAGAAAAAAATGCAGTATCAAAATTAAAAGTGATATAACTCCTACAATTTTAGATATTTTAAAAATTCCTTTTACTCACACATTGCTCTTATATAAAGCTATAATTTTACCAAGTATCATTAAAATCGAAGAACCACTTGCAGATTCTGATATTTCTGACGTGGACTTACCCGCATAGAAGTTGATTAGTGAAAAGTTTGTGAAAGAAATCTATATACTACACAAAAAAATACTTTACAAACTTTTTAGGGTTCCGTACTCGGTTTGAAACCCTATTAATATCGGTTTTTTTGAAATCGTCTAAACCCCCCCCCCTAGCGGCCACGCAAATTTATCTGGAGTACTGAAATTTAGTACACATATGTATTTTCGCGTGTAGATTACAGGAAAAATATGGCGAACTTGATTGGAATTAATTAACATAGCGTTGTCAAGGAAAAACCATGATTTTTTAAGAAAAATGACTATGTGACTATGTACCCCACCCCCTAGCAGCCACATCTTTTGACATAGAGAGTTCAAATTTGGTGCACTTATGTATTTTTGCGTGAAAATTTTTTTTTCAATAATTGCATTTTACAAACGGATAGGACATCAAAAAAATATCAAAACTAATTTTCATTTATGTTAAGGGGGATCCTACTTTATAAGGCCTAAAAATAGCGCTTTTTAAAGAATTTTTTTAAAAAGGAAAAAAATTTATACCTCTGGGCTTTTTGGGATGTTTTTGTATATATTTGAAGTATTTGTAAAAAAATTTTTGACAAAAAATAATAAAAAAATAAATAAATTAAAAGTAATTGTTGACAGAGGTGCACTACTTGACTTAAAAAACGGTGGGCATAATAGAGAGCGCAATTTTTGTC